AAAAAAACATTACTTTCACATATACACTTAAATTATCTATTATAAACTAATACAGATTATAAAAAACATACTCAAGTAATATCCTAAAGGGCGTTTTGTTGCGTCAGTAATAAACGAGGTTTGAACTTGTGTTAATTCTAAAAACTACTGATCCAAACCCCATAATTTTTATAAGCCTTCATCAGACCTTCGCCAAATTTCTATTGCCTATCAACCTTTCAATAAGTAAAAATAATCATCAATAACTTACACCGAATATCAAATACTTATCGAATTAAACCTTTTTCACGTGGGTCTTTTGACTAGACTTCTAGGTCATCTACGAAACAGTCGATTCTCACTCACCATTATCTGGAAGCTGACATGCCTTCTTCAAATCCTCCAAATTTCTTTCCAATTCGTTCTGATATTTCTCTAACGTAGGTCCCATAGAAGAATGCTGGGGTTGTTGAACTAGCGGTCTCCATATGGAAGCGAGATCGTCGGAAGCAGATCGTAGGGCATCAGATGACGAAATCAATTTGGAGCAACACGACGCATCTTGAATGGACGGGGCGGTTACCTGATCATGATAATATAATTTATCTTCACAATTAAAGTAATCGTTTATGTATATTGGCGTGAGTTTATACGTTCAGAAGCTGAAAAACATCGCTCCAAAAACCATCACGTATTCATCCTAGATTTTAATTACTTTACTGAGCCAATTTACTCCTTATGTAGATTTTTTGTTTTATAGACGAAGCGCTACTCGGTCAATCAAAATATTAATTTCACCTGAAATTGTACATACATAGTATTGATACCTGAGAATGGGCACAGTGCTAATAAACACACATGAACAGTCATATGTGAACACGGAACTTGTAAGGGGTCCAAACGTCTAAGTTGTTTCATTTGTGATATCTGATAATGTCACCTGTGCGATGGTGAGCAGGGCGTCCGCCCGCGCGGCGGCGGCGGCGCCCGCGCGGTCCAGGAGCGGCGCGCGGGGGGGGGCGCGCCTCGCCAGCTGGTGGACTTCGTTCAGGAGCTGAGATACCTTCTGGCAAGCTGACGTCGACAGGTCCAATACCTTAACGACAAACGACCGGTTATCAAAGGGAACGCTTTATGCCCTGTCCTGCCGCTTGTAATGCAACATGGCGCGTCTCCATCCACATGGACACGCGCGAAGGCTAGTGAAAACATGGACGGCATACTCCATGAACCCCATCCGATGCATCCTCACTTTGGGCGACGGACGTGGGATCCGGCAGAGCTTGCTCCACCCAGCGCCCGATGTTTAGACCCCGCGGAGAGTCAGCGGAAAGGAAAACGCTCAGGTACATAGTAATCATAAAAACTAATATTCCCATAAAATCTTTCATTTTCGAATAGACGAAATCATCGACGATTACTAATTCTCGATATAATAGCAGTCCTATGTACGTGACATGGGTATACTCACTCTGTTTTCCCTCTCCTGATTGGCTCGAGGATCGAACGAGTACACCACTTTCCCGGAGACGTTGGCGAAATTAACCGCCGCCTTATTCAGCTCCTACGATATAAACACGATCTGCATATTATATAATTGTCTCACTTTTTAACGATAAATAACTGTACGAATTTTCAGCTTCTTCACTGATGTGCATGTAAATGATTTGATTTGATGATGGTTACGGTTTACTCACTCGATTAGAATGTTGGGAGAGAGAATCGCAAATGTCGGCAGTGGCGTCACACAGGGCCTTCAAATCAGCGATAGTTTCAGCTTTGTTCTGCCCTTGGTCTAAGCTGCTTAATGTCTTTGTGTCTACGAAATAAATAACTACATTTTACACAAACATCCCAGATACCAATTCAATTTATGGCGAGAGATTGCAATTGTATGGTAAAACAAGTGTATCAAAAGTTTTTAAACTCACACGATTTGAATACATTAAAATTACATAAAACCGGGTCTTGTTCGTGCATTATTTTGAAACTATTTATTTACCTCGACGTGTCGGCTACGTTGCAGCAGCCATGGTTGAATAAATCGCTTTTGAGATAAGTATTATTTATCACTTTTTTAAAGTTTGACGTTCTATTTTTTTTTAACTAACTTAGACTACATAATATTTACTATTTTCGAATGAATTATTGATGCTTCCAAAAACCGGGTTTATATTTTATTTTACCTTTAATGACTGGGGGTAACAATTGGTTGATTACGTTGATGGCGTTATCCGCTGTCACGTAGTCTGGATTCTCGCGATCTAATCCAAATAAACAAATTAGACATAATCACATAGAGTTCACCTGTTTCACAGAATTCTGAAAGAGCGGTGAACCTGTATTTATATTCTTTCGAAAATAAACTGCTCTGAAATATAGAATTAAAATAACCTGCGGTGGCTGCGACCAGATCTGCTATGGCAGCATTGAGATGATGGAGAGCATCCGTCAGCTTTCCGGCGATCAGATCCGATGGAACCTTGCCACTCACCACGGGCTATGACAGGGTTAAGACACATTGAATTATACATACAAATTAATATTAATGCGAAACTAAATCTATACGTTTGTTCATTACTTCTTCAAAGCCAAAGCTCAAAATTGGACAAGGCTTATTACAGTGTTAACGAATTATTGAAGGACAAATTTGAATGATAAATTTTATTGTATCGTATATTTTAATCCTATTATTATAAATGTGGAAGTTTTCTTTGTTTGGATGTTTGACGGTCAATCACGCCGAAACTAATGAACGGATTTTTTATGAAATATGGTATACAGATAGGGTATTAGCTGACTCAGATAATGGGATACTTTTTATCCCACTAAACATTTCCCTAGGGACCACGCGGGCGAAGCCGCTGGCGAAAGCTAGTAATTTAATATATTTCAATTGACATATAAACATAATAATATTTTTTTAATGATTAGTTGCAATTGTCATTTTTTTATTATTATTATTATTTTTATTAAAATTTAAATTTTGCACGTCAAGTGGAAAAATACGGAATAAGTTACGGTATCATCTCTATGTAATACCTGTATTTGCAATTAAATGATTTGATTTGATTTGAGAATTGTGATTTTTAAATATAAAGAGAGATGGTATCACGTTGGGACATTAAAATAAAATCTGAAGGTAAAATAGGAGATGAATATTTGTATGGAGTATTAAAACTCTAATTTGAGATATTCATAAAGATTTTAGTAAAAAATATCTTTCATTTTTATTAGTCTACTTAAATTAAGACTTAAATTGCTATTTAGTAAAACAAGCAAGCCATGTACTTTGTATCAGCCAATTTAGCACTGACTAAGGAGTTTTCAATCTACACTAAAATTACTATGGGCACAATTTCTTTTTCTGAAATTTGCGAGTTTTTAAAATCCTAGTCATCGGATGGGTGATCTTAACCTTAATATCTTATATTCCCCCATGCTCTATAAGCACTGACCTTACAACAAATCGGTCCCAGCTGCATCTGCGTCTTTATCTGCAATCCACACGAGGTCTGGTGTGACAGGTCAAAGACGAAGGATTTTTTACTTTATGGTTCGTACTTCTTATATATTTTTATATATATAGGCATGGTGTGAGCCTAACCTTTGGAGCCATTAAGTAGACATATGATATTTCACATAAATAAACAAGCAATTTTCACATACCTTATCGAGTTCCCTGTAGGCAGCGTCTAGATGCGCACGCGCAGCTTCTGCTGTTTTAATGAACTGCAGTCTAGATACTTCCTTGCTGGTCGTCTGATCATCAAGACCACTTGCATCTAGAATATATGATTACAGAGCAAAGCGTTCTTAAAAAGTAAATAGATAGGTGTTTTTAAATTAAAGGAAATATATTTTATATATATTTATATATATATATACAGGAATATTTTTTTTCCAGTGCAAAAATTTTTTTTGGTGGTTCAGTATCAGTAATAGAACACTTTTCCATAATTAGTTAAAAAAATTTTTTTTTATATTTTTATCCCTATCGAAACGGTAGAATATGGACACATTTTTTAAAATAAAACTTCAATGAAAACGTCTTCTCTTGCGTATGCCACCGTGCAACCCCGCCGCGCCCGGTAGCCCCCCGCCACAGCCCCCACCGCCCCGCCGGGACCGAGCGACGCGCGCGACAGTGAGACTCATACGCACGCGCCGATGTGACGTGTCCTCGCGTTCCCGCGCACGCGTCGCGCCCGCCGTCGTGAGTTTTACGAGATGTACGAGTTTATCTTCTGAGTGGTGAGAACCTACATAAGCGCAATTCGGAGAAAGTATGCGACGAAAAGCATACCTTTGGGATCCGTAACCCCGCGGTCCCTAATGCTTCGAACCATTTTAACAGATGAAGTCCCAGAGTCAGTACCCACGATGCGGCATATCTCTTTGGTGTGAGCCAGCCTGCGGTATTGGAGCTGCTAAAAACAGCCGGACTCCATCCGTACCACTTTCAGCCGGTTCAGCAGTTCCATGACCTAGACCCAGTACCACGTCGAGCCTTATGTGAGTGGCTTCTACATCACCGCGATGCAAACATCTTGTGGACGGATGAGGCATTGTTCACAAGTGAGGGACTGTTTCTTATGGGAAGAAGTCACACGCCGAGATGTAGAGGAGGCACAAAGTCTAGAAGACTTAACAATAAAAAATAATAACGCTTTCAGTGAAGTGAAAAGTGACACTAGTGTTTTAAACAATTTAAATGACAATTTAATGAAATGTCCACGTTTATGTCTGGACAGACGTGGACTTCATTTTGAACAAATATTAAAATACATGGTAAGTAATTAGTTAGGTATTTGTTTTGATTCAACATTATTGTAAATACGTAGTTGATTCTAATTTTTTTAAATACGCCTTAACGCAGAAGTACCTAAGTAACTTCGGCATACGTTAATATTTTTTTCTAGGTAACGAATTTGTTTCTCTTTTATTTTGTTGCATTGTGATGGCCTTAACCATAAAAGTATGAAGGGAAAATTGGAATTACTTTTAGAAATCACCTCAGATCATGGCAGAAAATCTAGTTCGAATCTAACAAAATGAGCGGCCAGTGACCCGTGTAGATAGGTACCTACGAGTACATGCCTACGGCCGGCGTCGAGCGAGCGCTCAGCTGACGCACGGCGCGCTGTGTCCATAAATTAAGTTTTAAAATCTCGATCTTTGATGAGCGATAACTTTATTTTTTAGTATTAGAACATATCAAAATAAAAAATACGTGTTTATTTAAATTACTTAAAGTTTATTTTCACAAAATCTTCGCAGTGGTTTTAAATTATTCCTGTATATATTTTTTTTTTTTGTAAAAAGATCCTTTGATCTTATAATATCCAAATAAAATTGGTAACATGGCTTATCCAAAATGATAAAATCCTTAATTCATAATAATAGTACCTGCACCGATATCTCGACAAGCTTTCCTTAACCTATCCAGTTCTCGTTCCAGTTGCAGACGTTTTTCATCTAGACTGTCTCCTAGATCTTTGTAACGTGGATTCTTCAATAAATTCATCCATGCTAAACTGAGATTCTGATTAGCATGTGATGAGGAGTCTATCGCAGAAAGAAGAGCCTCCTGGCAGCGAGGGTCCTCTATATACGGTGCCGTGACCTGTTTATAGAAATATCTTATTTTATAATACAAATCAATGACTAAAATGTAGTAATGATATTTACAAACAAATATGTGTAATGTTAACAAAACATATAAATGCTATTTAAGTAATAATACTAATCGCGTTATGATTGTTGAAAAGAAAATTATTATAGAAACAAAAAAGACACTAGTCATAATTATTAAAAGTCTTGTATGTTATCTTAGAGAATAAAACATATTTAAAGAACGACCCCTGAATGTAACAATATATTAAACAATTTTGGTATGTGTCCACTTCCCTGTGGTAGCGTTTTAAAATTTAATTAACATATAGTATCCGCGCATATTGTACGAAATTTCGGAAAATGTATACCTACATACTATATGAACTTAGAAATTCACAGGTATTCAGGAATTATCTATCGATTATCTTTTAATCAGTAGAAAGACAACAGTATCAAAGACCTTAGTAAAAACGAAATCATGCATGATACTTTATATCGTCAATTTCGTATGATTTTCGAAAGATTGTTTTATTCACTTATAAAATATACAATAACTATCAAAATTATTTATTAAATCATAGATACCGTAGACAGTAACCATATAAAGTTCTCAGTTGTTATTATTCGTATCTTTTATTATTATTATATTTTACTAACCCTTACATTAAACCCTACATATTACAAAATCCTTGCAGAGGACGCCCTGACCCTGTATGTTCCTTAAATTAAATTTTATCTTATTGTTTGTGATGTGACACACAACAAATATTTTGACAATATTTAGTCACAAGTAAATTAATCAATAAATAATTTGAGTAGAAAGATTCAGTAGAAGATCATTTATTTTATTGAATTAAACGTATCAACAAGCAGGTGTATATAATAATCACGTACCGATACAGCGGTATGTAGCGCGGCAGCAGCATCGGCCGCTTTACTCCCCGCAATCTCCAGGTCGACGGCGGCTTCAGCATCCACTCGCTGCGACAGATCCTGTACTGCTGCCATCAGCTGAGAGGCTTTCTCATCCACTGACGACGATATATCTGCAATCTGGACATTAATAAACTTTTTAAGTACACCATTACATAAAATATCTAGCTGAACAGTAAACTATACCTAAACATGTCACATAATGGATGTAATGGTAGTTCTTAATACGATTTTAATTTATGAGCTGAATATATCATGAATAAGGTACGCAACTATGGTATCTCTAAGTAAAATAGTTCACCTTTACTTTACATCCAAATTACCATCACAATGTTTTCTACATACAATTATAACTATTAACATAAGGTATGTTATTAGTAATAATTTTATGTCATACCTTCATAAACTGGAACAATCAGAAATACCTAAAGTACTAAAATTTAATACCTTATGTTCATTATCACGTCTTGCTCGAGGATTAAACACGTAGAACAATTTGCCAGATGAAGCAGCAAACTTAGAGGCAGCACCGTGAACATCCTGTCATGATTAATTTCAATAAATATTATTCATACATATTTAAACCTTTATAATGGTCAGGTATTCAATCAAAGAAACTGCTCGATTCGAGTCGCTTACGATAAGTAAATTTAGTAGGATTTTGGATTTGAGACAATTTATTTTTCATAATCCACATTAATAAGATTAAATTAAATTAATTCAAGAGTTGCTCTGTTAACTCCTATAACGGTGTTATATCATCACCTGTTTTTTTTTTTGTATGCTATATATAAACCTTTCTCCTTTTAAAGTGTTGTGTGTAAGATAAGTGATGTATCTGTAACTTACGTTCAAGTTCCCGTTATCTGTGGAGTCACAGATGTTCTTGGTTGCTTTACAGAGTGCTTTCAGTTCGTTCATCATCTTCTCCCTGCTCGCTACGTCTTTATCAGCACTTAATAATTTTCCATCTTAAAACAAAATAAAGTCATCAATTAATAATCAACAAACCATAATTTCAGGATATAACGGCACTAGCACTTTTACATAACGCTTTTCATACAAATTTTATTTTTAATAACCGACTATAGTTATTTATGGGTCTAATTAATATTAAACATGATTTTGTTACCACAAAATGCTTACATTTCAACAATAAGCTACTCAAAATAGCATGTTTTTGCTACAATCATATCAATATTTTTTTATAGTTACAATGAAATTTGTCCAAAAAGCCATTATAAATGTAAAGTGACTGGTTAATTATAATTCACGAACAAACTCACCTCTAACAATATCGGGCATTAACTCTCCAATAGTATTGATTGCTAACTCCGCAGTTTCATAGTCCGGCTTATCGCGATCTATATTAAAACATTTTCCTGTATCACATAATACATCATTTCTAAAATAATATTTATTAATTCAATAGATATCGTTATTGTGAATCCAACTCGTTATTTATTTATTAGTTCTTCACAGACGTGCTTCGACGTGACTTAAATAAAACGTTATTATTACCAGCAGTAGCGGTGACCAGAGCAGCCAACGCAGCATTCAGTTGGGCCAACTTCTGCGTTAGTCTGTTTTGTATTTCTTCTTCCGTTTCATTTTTCGATACTTCAGTAAGTGGCTAAAATGTAGTGATAATTATTTTTGTAGGTATAACGTATTATTTGAGTCTAATATAATTAGATCATTAAAGTTGGCAAAACCGTAATTATTCTAGGTAAAACAAACATTGAAATTCTATTCAAAGAGATTAATTAATAACGAAATTCTACTAAATACTACAGTGTATTCACCACATTAAATTCCGTCTCTGCTGCATTCATTTTATCTTTAGCTGCGGCAACTGACTTGACAAACATTACTTTTTGATTAACCATCCTTTTGTCCGGTTCCTCTGGAACATCTAAAATTATATACGTTAAATATTTAAAATACTGTCCTTTAATAATTATTGCATTATATCAATAGAAGCTTCCGCAGATATCAAATGAGAAACAATGTTATGCATGTGTGATATTTGATATGACTCGACGACGTCTTTAAAACAATTCGAGAAGGAAAGAAGAAGCGACTATTTAATAATTGAATTGGTCTATTACCGTCCATCCCCGCAAATGCGCCTTTGAGTTTGTCCAAAGCCTTAGCTAAGTCCATAGTTCGGTCTCGCAGTTGCGGCGCCAAGTGTTTAGTATCGTCACGTTCGAGCATGGGCCTCCACGTGAGCGCGAGGTGCTGCACTGACGACGACAAATTCTCAGCTGATGCTTTCAATGCACTCCTGCAGTGGGGCTCAGCTATACACGCCGCACTCAGCTAGAAATCATAAATAATAATCCAAAATTATATTTCATTGGAACAAAAATTGCGTACATGATAGAAGCTATGATAGTTGACAATGTGGAGTGCAACTAAGAACCCTCAGGTCCAGCTTGATTATTTTCTAAATAAAAAAACAGTGTCCAAAGTATCATTGAGCATAACGATATCACAGCTTAGACGTTCAATTAAATAAAACCCATTGCAAAATGTTTTATTTGAGTGAACCTTTATGCTTGACCCTTTTTTTTTACAAAACAACAAGCTGGCAGCTCAATACTTTGATGTTTATATCAGTTCATACCAGACCATTATGATAAAATCTTCTAGATAGCAAAACACTTGTCTTTAAATTTAATAATATTTGGGTTAAAATAAAATCTACATTATATGTAACGTCAATGTCATTCTAAAATGTAAATTGACGAGTTAATTTGAAATGATAAATTTTTACACTTTGTTTACTTTCAAAACACTTTTCTATGGCATTGTATTCTACTATTACTTAAGGCCAAAATCAATACGTGCACAAATTATATCAATGAGAAAAAATCCTGACAAAGCTGTGATTCTACATGAAGACATGAATGGCATATAAGTTTCTTTTCGTATTTATCTCAAACACGAAGTTACCTCGGCGCAAGTTATAATGTCTCGTGCCGCTTGAGCGCAGCGACCGCTAGCGTCCTCCAACATGGCAGCCTCAGGTTCGGACACCAGACCGGCTAGCTCATTACTCTTATCCAATAACAGTTTGTTCTTCTCAGCAACTTCTTTGGAGAGATCTAAAATCTATTTTTTTTCGATGAAAAGAAAACCGATACTATTTTACACATTGTTTTTTTTTCTGAGATTTTAAATAAGTATCTATTAGAGTATAAATAATTTGATGTATAGTTTGTAACAAATTTATAATCATTCTAACTTAACCCTTGCAACTGAATTACTAGAAATACTCTCTCTGATACATTTATTCCAAAAGATACCACCTTGTAAACTTTAAATAGGTATCTATAAAATGGTTTGATTTCACTCACTTCTTTCTCTTTATCTGTATTCCTATTGCCACCACGTCGGAATGTAAACAGCAATTTATCTGAAGCTCGGCCATAGTCTTTAACCGCATTTTGCATTTTCTACATATAATAAATAGATTAGTTTTGAAATATTAATCTTAAAATTCTGAATAAAACAATTTTTATATAAGAAAACAGTTCTAACATATAATTAAAGTTTATGTCAAATTGATGAACTCACCTGATAGTCATCAGGGTCTGCAGCTAGGCAAACCAACTTGACGGCATCGCACAGCGACTGTATTGCCTCCAGGAAGGCCTCACGATCCTTACCATCTTTCACGCTGGCCAAAGCTTTGGCATCTATCAAAAATTCAATATCAATAATTGCTTAAATGTGAAATTAATATAGTCACAAAACTAAAACGCGATTTTTTTATTTCACTATGTATAACTATAGACGATACCCACTCACACTAAAACCATGATAAGTTTTGAGAAACGATACATTATTCTAGCTTATATGCGTTAGCACAAAATCTATATGGCATTTCGATTAATTGCATTTCACCATTTTGTTTTCTAACTGGTGCTAAATACTGTTTGTAAAATGATATCGTGATTAGTTATAATACTCGTATTATTATATTAAGTATACATTTAGGTTTTCGTATTACTTTTCTCAAAACTCTGATTCATTCTAGTAACTTATGAGAAAAAAAAGTGTTTTTATAAAAAGAAATCTTTACAAAAAAATATAAAATCACCTTTAGCAAGTTTAGGCAACAGTTCGTTGATGGTGTTCATGGAAGTCACAGCGACTGCGTAATCAATATTCTGAGTATCTGCAACGAAAATATTCTATTTAATAGTCCCGAAACTCAGTGAACACATGAAAAAGAAAAAACATTGTTGACTAAAACAATCAAATTAATCTTTACTAACACTATAAAGTTTGTTTGAATTGAATAGGTTCCGTTACTACTGAATAGATTTTTTAATTTCTTTCACCGACGGGGAACTGCATACAAACGCACTAGGATTAATAATGAAAAAAGTAGACGGCAGACAATAAATTGTAACAAAATTAAAGAAACAAGATATATCCGGGAATAATAATATTGAAAACTTTTATTGGGTTTTTAGACAGTAATGTAATATTAAAGTGAATGAAACAAGAAATATTTGTACGGTTTGATAAACATACTGAATTACCTTAGTACTAGAACACTAGAAGGCATTAGTAAATTTTACCTCACCTGCATAAGCCATCAGGTTTAAAGCCACGGCCGCGTTGAGTTTGGCCATTTTATTAGCAGCTGACTTCTCCAGTTCCTCCACATCTGCTGGATCCAATTTTGGACCTTGATACTCCTTAACGAAAAATCATAGAAAATTGTCACATACTGTCTTAAAATATGCGCTGAAAACCCATTTCAACGCGTGTTACAGTATTTCACAGAATATAATTTTCTGTCTTCTCTCTCTTTAAATCTTTTTTGAATTACATTGTAAAGTCGGGAGAATCTTATTCGTGACAAATTCAAATAAAATTACTTGTGTTTTTTTATATGTATGCCACTTTTTTATTTGGTTTTAGTTAAAAAAAAAACACAATTGGTTTATAACTCTCACCTCATCTAAATGTTGTTTAACTTGTTGTATAGTCTCAGTTGTATGCTGAGCGGCCACTAAACATGAGGCACGTCGAAGACTAGCATCCATTTTTTCATCCTTTATGAAACTCTTACGCGATCGCTGTATAAATACATAACAACAAAAAATAAATATATTTAATTCCATCCCGTTTAGCCTGTAGGTTTTTGACAATTTTGAAATTGTTTATTTTAATATATTAGATCATATGTTAAGGGGGAAGGCGTCACAGTCCGACAAGGGATGAAAGAGGGTTCTAAATCCGGTTACATCAAATTTCAAAACCTAATACAAGAACTCGAATAGATCTATTTCAAATCGAACTATTTTTAACTGAATTGAAAGGAAAAATTCTTTCTCTCACAATATATTTGGCAAAAGAAATAAAAAAGAAACCTAGATTGAGATTCAACGCTACTTGACTATCAATTTATCAAGCGCCTGAACTCGCACACTTATTTGTGCATGAGTACAATAACTCACCCTACAGAACTCGCCACGTTTCTTCATTCTTGGATCCAAAGCGCAACACATCTGTATCGATAAGTCCGCGATCCTTTTACTTATATCCTGTGCCTCTTCTGGATTCTAGAAACGAGAATATAATATGAAGTTGTCATAGCTTAGGAATCCCGTGAACTGCAAACTGCACAAGCCAATCTATCCTTCGCGAGATAGAATTTCCACTATCTGCCTGCAAAGAATTCTAGATTTCTTTGATCAAGACAGAAAAAATCTCCAACAACTGATGGACTGACCAGTTTCGCGCAACTTTCGGCACAAAACTACATGACACATTCCATATTGCCAAGGACAGCAGCAGATGGAGAGATGGCATAAGGGAAAATCTATATTTTCACCGACGCGATCACGATTCATAGCAATGCAAAAAACGAATTGAAAAGAAGGAGAACTAAGGAATATTAAAAATGCGATTTGTTTAGATAAATGCTCGATGACGCAGTAGTTAGTATCTTAGGTCTGCGCTGCACATATTAAGCAGCTTTCGCAAGAGCCAGTTATGTCAAGGTGAGCCGTGCTTCGGAAGGCAAGTTAAGCTGTTGATCTCGGCAGTCATTAACACCCAGCAATGCGCACTGGGTCGTGTGAGTGGGTCCAGTCATATCTCATTCTCTCGATTTGAATATATACATGACGAAGGCTTGTGCCTAATGTGAAAATAATATTAAAATGAAAACGAATAAACAAAAATAAACTCACAACATTAGTATTGATATTATCAGACAGAGCTCTCATGTGGTCTACAAGTTCCTGAAGATCGTTAAGCAGTTTTTTCTTGGCTTCCTCGTCGGTTTCTTTTTCTGCAGCTTCATTGACACCTTTCACACATACATTTAAATTGATTATATTTCACACAGCTCTCTTAAAAATAATTATTACCTGATAATTTTTTAATTATATTTTAAGGTAAATATAAATGTATGTTATGTCACCCAATTCTTGATCTAATCTCATTAATAAATTTGAATCCGGCTCGAAGAACACCTTAGTATCACACTGACCTTCGAACTTCATACAGCCTTAAAATTCATAAGGTCTACCTAGCCAAAGTAACTTAGGTTATAATTTAGGCTTATAATTTATGAAAAAATTTTAGAACACGATTCAGCATTAGTTTTTGAGTTTATCTATTACAAACAAACAAAGTCTTTCCACTTTTTAATATTTAATAAAGCGTAGTTAAGACTTTTATATTATACACCTACTATTATAAAATTTTGTAACATTATTAATTTTTAGTAATTTATCTCACCCTCAATTAGACTCGGCATGTCGGCGTCCATACTATTGAAAATGTTAACAGCTTCCGACAAATTAGCTTGGTTTGGCTCTGAAAATAATTAAATAATTGATTATTAAAAACATAACATCTATTAAAAACATAATTTTATGACGTCATTGCAACTTATCGCACTGACTACCTATTTGTCTTGCTTTTGCATATTCTATCTGAAGTAAGTCAAGTTTTATATCGACTAACAATATTATTATTCAAGATAGTAAAATAATACCAGTTAGTAGAGTAACAATCTTGACGGAGTTGGAATTGAGCCGGTTCAGTTTTCTCACGAATTCCAAAGACATGCCCTTGCGCATCGGCACCTCTCCGACCTGAGAGATAGATATAAAACTTGTGCTATACTATATGAGGGAGAAAATTGTCGGGCCTAAATATTAGATTCCAACAACAAAGGTACCACAACACCCAGATCCGAGAAAATATAGAAAAGTCCAATTTCTACATTGACCCGACTGAGAATCGAATCCAAGACCCCAGATATGGCGACACCTTGAAACCACTCGGCAACGAGGATCATAAGTTACATATAATATAGTTTTTTAAATAAGTATAATAAAGCGGATGCTGCATTTGGAGCGGCGTAGTCATATTGTGCACTGTCATGATATGGAAATCATGAAAGAATTTGCTAGGAAAAATATGAAAATTACACAAACATGACTTCATTCTAAATTCAATATGAAAGACCAAATCAGATTATTGAAGTCTCTTATTATGAGTAGTAAATAAAAAAGTTCACTGAGAAAAATGCCATTTTATTTAAAAGATTGTTACTATTTTCTTTTATATTAAGAATAAAACTTATTTAATATGTTAAGCTGTTTATACTCACTAGGACGGTCTGCTGATTGTTTCCTTTAGCGTTTATCACGAGCTGTTGCACCGTGACTATTTGCGTGCCTTGTGCTATTGCTCTACCTGTCATATTAAAATCATTTATGCGTACCCATATACCACATTTTTATATTTGACTGAAAAATTTACAATTGCAATACTGAATAACTTCAAATTTGACAAATAAACCTTTTCATATTAAAAAAACTCAATTCGAAATGTTTTCAGCATACAACAAAGAATTGTGCAACTATAAATAAATTGTAGTGTGATTTTCTGTTACATGTGAACATTGATTTGATAATAGTGTTCATTTCGTATGTCTCGGTAACATATAAACAAATTTTGATTGTTTGAGGCAAGATATTTTTGTTTTTTTTTTTACCCAGTCGTCATCCCTATTAATTTAAGCCTACTGTATTTGTCTCTTAGGGCCGTTCATTTGCTGTTATTGCAGTGGATAAAGTTGTCCTTGGTAATGACAACAGCATTAGTGAATTAGATTTGAATCCAAGACAAAATGTCGTAGAACTATGCTGTTGTCATGCATGAAATAAGCTTGCTAAGTAATTTGCATGCCCATATTTTTTTTTTTTAATTCTTATTTTCTTATGAAGCTTGCCGTGGCAACCTATAATTGAGAGTTCACTTCAATATATGAACATGCAAGCAACTATTGTAACAATTTAAGTGAATGTCTTGTTGGTTGTCCAATAAATAAATAAAAAAATTAAAAAAAAAACTTTCTAAAAAACCTTGAACACTATGGTTTTTACGGGAAAGAAACTAAAAATAATGACAAGTTATCTCAAAAATTGTAAACAAATAGTGATACTAAATGGAATACGTTCGGACAGTGCTGATGTGACTATAGGTATACCGCAGGGTTCGATGTTAGGTCCTGTTTTATTCCTCGTATACATAAACGATCTCACCAGTAATCTACCTGATTAGGTTTTCGTGAATCTATTTGCAGATAACATTGAAGTAAGACAGCTTCTGCTTTCAACACTCCTATTGCATCAAATTTATTAAGCGTACAACTGCAGTAGTTGAAACAACTTACGATAATATCCTACATATTAGCTGTACTGAAAAAATATCTACCCGGTTCATATGTGAAGATCTGACTGGGACCGACAAATGATTCTTCCACGATTTTACTCGGCTTGTGTTCTATGCGCTCCATTATATGACCCCTGAAATAATATTAAAGCAACAGCTGACGGCAATATCTATTTATTTATATCGTTAAGCCAGTTTTCTTGAGAGTCAACTGACCGCCATAATGTAACAAACATGGTCTATAAACACGTCTTTCAAATCCTTGAAATTCATAACTCTTTGCTTCTACGTGGCCCTACAATTATTCATGTGCTCATGTTTTATCATCGTCACCTAACAAATCAAAAGTTTTAATAATCTTGCGACCATTGTGAAGCACAGGCTTTTCCAATATATGGAATCGCATAGGGAGAACTGGCCCAGGGAAGATTGTTGAGTATCGAGAACTGCAGATGACAAGTTGCAAAACTGTATATTGCGGAGTTTCTTGTGAGATCTTCCGAATACAAAGTATCTCAGCATATATTTGTGAACTAAACAATAAATAATATTGAATTTAAAAATTGCAGCCGGTACTAACGGCTTAACGTGCCTCCGAAGCATGGAGAGGAAGAACTTTTTAGTAAACTTTCTTTTAACAGATCTCCTCTTTTATTAATTTATATATGATTAACTTGCATTTATATTGGGAAATCTCACCTCGACGCTTGAACATTATCTTCGCAGATGGCATAGTGTTCAGTCTGGTTCAAGTTGTAGTTGGCCTCCATACGTTTCCTGATGATGTCTATGTAACCTTGCAGTATGTCACGGATCCGATGGGCGTCGTTGGTCTTCACACTATACTCTTTGTCACTAACCAAACAAAGGATAATACTGCCAGTAAAATAAACGATAAAAGCAGATGCATATGTAATCATTGAGAGAAAAAAATAATAATAAGCATAACACAAACATACATATATAATATAATAAATATAAATACATACATACTTATAAATACTATGCCTAGTAGAAATGATATAGCAATTTTTATGATTCTGCCTGATCTAATATTAAATTGCTCAAATTGGTTTTAAAAGCAAACAGACTGGCGGACATTCTGATGTCTGTGAGGAGTGCATTCCATAGGATAATGGCTTTAACGAAAAAGGAAGAGTGGATGATGTCAGTGTGATGAGCAGGACACATAAGTAGTCTATTAGAAGAAGATCGAAGGTCTTTTGTATGACTCGTACATAAGTACTGAAAGTGTGGAGTGAGATAGCTTGGGGCGTTGGGCGATTGCAACAAAGAAAACAGGGTAGTTACAGCAAGTAATTTCCATCTAATATTTTAAATACAACTCTCATCTAAATAATACTGAGACCTATTTGATTTATTAAATCCAGCAACTTATGACGCACCCGTAGACTTAGTTTTAAATGTTATAATAACATTCTTACTTACCTATAATCTCCAAAGTTGAGTGTGAAGGTCTCTGTCTTCCCGGCATGATATGTCTTGACCTGTGTGAGCGGCCACACTTGCAGTATCTCTTTAGTCACCTCGTCCAGACGCAGGATCGACTCCGCATTTATGCCCAACAGACGCGGCACCAATTTCTTTTTGCCTTTCTGTTTCTCCTGTATTCAAGGGGCTAACTTTACTTCATTCTTCATTTATATCAATACTATTACGCAACTAATGAACATATTAAATGACATTTTTTGCGGACATGTTTGAAATTTTGGGAAGAACCACGGATAGTTTATGTTCCAGAAATCTTTTCTCAAACGAATGAAAAGAAAAGTAGATTATTTCAATTAATTTCATATTTTTTTAAAGTAAAATTCACGCTATGTGCTAAAAATAGCTGACCTTAACCAAGAAGAATGTAACTCCGTACGTAGGCAAGTCCCTAGCTGTTTTCGTGTAGAGAAACTTCGCCTCGATTTGGCTGAGGCCATGGTGTCTCCGAAACTCCTTCAGGATCTTCTTTTCGATACCCCAAGAGCTGGAATACTGCTCCGGTAGATATTCATTAAGACTGTACAAGAATACGTAGGGTATAATTAGTGACAAATCCTGGCTAATCAGTAATTCATGTGATGAGAAATCGGCCGATCTACCGATTACCTCTTTTTTAGTGCGACATAGACATAGACATTAAAACAAAATCATACGTCCGGTCATCACGCGAACGACAATTTTGTTTGTTTGCATCAAATAGGCTCCTTAAACTACTGGACGATCTTAAGCTATAATTTACGCAGGCGAAGTCACGGAAAACAAATAGTATCATACAATTTATCAGTTCTAACGACTGCAACGGAATAGACGCGTCAAAACTTACGTCAAAAATGCATCAATCTTTGCCCTTCATAAATAGCATAAATATAAATACAAGTACATACTTTTCTATGAGCCCCGGCTTGTGTTTGTCTTCCTGGAAGTCGCCATAGTGTATTTGACACTGAATACCGGCGAACTCGACAGCTACAAAACATAATGATTTAAGTTTTTGAATTTAATTATAATATAGGTATAAGGTTGTGGTCTAAAGCAACTTTATTATTAGCAATCACAAATGGGCAACTTTGTAGAACCGCCTCAAGCTTTTTATTTGTTTCTCAATATTGTGGCGCTATAGTAATTTATTTATTATTGTTAATACAATAATAATAATAGTACATATGATTTAAAAAACAATTATTGGTACACATTAGTCACTAATATTCACGTGCACCTTGATAGGCATGACAATGTGAAAAGAAGGTCACTAAGGCGTTCCTAAAATAAATGTAAAGTGTCATTGCTTTATTTTTGACGTCATAATTCAATAACCTTTAAAATGTATAATTACTTAGAGATAGAATACGGAGGGAAAACATACATCTGTAAGCAGAAATGTTTCTCTGTTAGAAGAGAGATACCTGCGGTACCGGTCTGGAGGCCTTTAACATGCTTTAACTTCCGCTTGTAGGTAAAAACATTCCCTCGCTCCCCGCAAACGATTACGCATCCAGGGTAAAGAAGGGAATCAGCCGCACTAGTACACCGTGTGTACGTCAACATAGCAGGTCAACCAACGAATTTAAGGGTCTTATGTATGTTAATAAATTGTGAGTAAAATATGTAGTGATACATAGGATATTTATATGCACAACATTAAACGAAAATATCTCGAATTCAATTAATTATCTTTTATAAATAGTGATCTTAGATCGCCTACTGGCTAGACGTCTAGGTTTTGTTTAAATTGGAGATAATTCTAATTAACGTTGTGCCTGCTAGCTTGACGCTAATAAAAACACAAAATAATTGTGACTAAAATTATAATTTACAAACTAAGAAATAACTTCTTCTTCTAAATGTTCATGGATGCTTATGATGAATTTTAAACTTTATAATGCTACAATTTGGTCTAAATGTATTTTTAGGGATATAGTAGTCTGCTGTCATAAATAAAATTTTAGGAATTCTTTAGGACTAGTTACATCTTTTTTGTAAAGAAAAAAATACGCATTTTAGGTTTTCAGCAGTGGAATGATATGAAATGAAATGAAAATATCTTTATTCAAGTACTTAGGCCCACTACAACCACTTTTAATCGTCCAAAAAAAATAAATAAAATATACCAATCTTGCCGTTACAAAATTTGTCAAGAGTCTAATTTTCTTAACAGCAAATGCTGCAGAACTCAGTCTACTTGGCAAGTTATCAATATGAGGATCCCATTGCAGTCAGGAATCTAGTGTAATACCAAGGAATTTTGTCGATTCTACCAACTCAACTTTTTCACTATTTACATTTATAAGTATACCAGAAACTAACATGCCTCACATTAGGTAATGGAAACTTTATGCATTTCGTTTTATTTGAATACTAGCTTTTGCCTGCGACTTCGTCCGCGTGGTAAAGTTACCTTGAGCAGCATTTCTAACTCCCTATTTTATCCCCTTAGGGGTGGAATTTATCAAAATGCTTTCTCAAGGAATGCTTACTTCATAGTAGCATTATTCATGCAAAGTCTCAGCCCGATCGGTTTAAAATTGTCAAAATTTCATACAAACTTTCATCCCCTATTCTATCCGCTTCGGAGTAGAATTGATCAAAATCTTTGCTTAGGGGATGCCAACCTCATAGCAGCTTTATGCATGCAAAGTCTTAACCCAATCGGTTTAAAATTGACAAAGTTTCATACAAAATTTCATCCCCTATTTTATCCCCTTGGGGGTTGAATTGATCAAAATCCTTTCTTAGCGGATGTCTAAATCACAACATCTACCTGCATGCCAAATTTCAGCCCGATCGGTCCTGTGGTTTGGGCTGTGCGTTGATAGATCACTATGTCAGTCAGTCACCTTTGAGTTATATATATTTAGAAGTGGCGAACTAACCCCGTCGAGGGCCTGGGGCGGCATCAGTCTCGGACCTACATCTTTTTCCAGCCGGGGCAGGAACCCCCTGCTAATTTGACTAAGGGAACTTGCAGTCATTTGGATGCCCTCCAGAGCAGAACGCTCGGGGCGTACCGCCCCCTCCCCCCCTTAGTCCGCCTGTGGCTTTTAGACTCTATTCTCAATGCTTTTAGCATTACCATCAGGAACCTACACGTGGACCCAGTACGAATTGCTGTTTGGATTGGTATCATAACATTCAACAGAAAGATCTGTAGGCACCCTTAGCACCCCAAAAATCCACATTGGGTCCAACACCCGGGCCCAGTACGGATTACTGTTTGTATCATATCATGCATAATAAAGGCCTATCGATATATCACCACCAATCGCATTGGAGTAGTACGGAATGTTTGGTGGATTGGTTCCATCCATCATGAAGATCTGTGATTCAGCACAACAAATTCTGATCGAGCACACCACGCAGGCACCGTACGAATTACTGTTCGGAATGGTAACATACAATCCATCAGAAAGACGTGTACCTTAAGACCTATACGAATCCGCATTGTGCAAATATGAAATAACGAAGGTAGGAAGGACAAGCTTTGAAACTAGCGTACGGCAATCCGCCCAATCACCCAAACAGCCTAAAGATTTTTTTACGAATATTTAAACTTTCGATACAGATGAAAATTTGTTCTAATTATTACATTTGATCAGAATGCAAAATTTATGTAATATAATAATAATAAAAAAACTTAAAAAAAATATAGCCGACTTCAAACTTAAAAAAGAGTGCAAAATAATACTTATCTCAAAATAAAAGTATTATATTTCAATTTTGAAGTCGGTTCTATTTTTTTAAGTTTTTATTGCATGCTTTTTAGTGATATTGATATTTTAGAAATGTTTAGAGTTTAGACCTCGTTATTTTTAAAAAAACTTTTACCACGAGTAAAACGAGTACCTCGAAGCAAAGTGTATTTTTTAAGCATTTTTTCATATTTTCCATTATAGCATTGTGAATGTAAAATTGATAAAATATAATGATTTTAATACTTCTTTAGAGATCACTGAAAGTAGCCCACAAAGCGGTATTATTTCAATAAATAATATATTTTGCACTTTCATGACACTTGCAAATAATACCACTTTTCCTAAATAAACGTAATGACGCCGCCGTAATGTCTTACAGATTGGCACAAAAAAAAATGTTTTTTTTTTTTTATTAAATAGGGTTTACAAAATATCATTAATTCAACCAAGAATATATGAATAATTTAATCAATTAAAACTAATAACAAACATTGTAACTTATCTTATTAGGTCACATAATATCACATAAAAAGTCATTCCTAATATAATTACGGTAAGAACTATTTTAAGTTTCGCTTTCACTGCTCTCTGGAACCTGGCTTTTGTTAACAATCTGTTCCAACTCATAATCCTGCACCACCTGGAATATCTTAGACTTGGCTTGGTTTAAGTAATACGGGCTAAATTTCCTTAAAGTCGTACCTATAGTTAAAAGAAATACATCAATAGGATCAGTAGGATTCAGTTCTTGGAGAATTGTTTCGCTGATATCTCTACACGTGTTATCTTTTCTCCTTCTTAGTTCCATGTTTATCTCCTTTGTATCTCGTTCATATTCACTGTTATTACTTAAAAATACTTCCGCTGGCATTTCTACTTCACAATTTGCTTCGTCTTCGAGATATTCGACGTAGTCTTCGGGACTTTGGGACACTTCTCTGAAAAAGGGTGTTGTGAATTGCATTTCCGCTTCATATTTGTAGCTTTTGATGTGTGCTCTAGGATCGGTGTTCTTCAATCTCTCCTTGTATTTCCTGCGCATCATGTCTCGAATGTTGATCCACCGAGATTTGCACAGCGGACCTACAAATAATGGAAAACTGTCAAGAGTCTGGTTTGAATGTATCAACAGGTACCTGTTTGATATTTTGAAATATTAAAGTTTTTGATAAAAAAACAAAACATGTACATAATTAAAACTTTGAAAAAGACAAGTGAAAAAATAGTGAATGCCAACAATATTGATAATGCCTGAAGAAATGAAATTTTATTTATTCTATTACTTCGACAAATAGAAAAATATTAGATACCTACGTATTTTTATTAATTAGGCAATAACCATTACATTGACGGCGGTCGTTCATGACGTCATAAATATGTAGATTATCGACAAAGGTGTGTTCATTGATAACGCAACAAAGAATGTTTACAATTTACAATAAATAAATATCCGACAACATCACATACATTGTTCAGATCCCAAATCGAGTAGCTCAATTATTTGATGTAAGGAAATCTGAAACAACAAACTGAATTCGAGACAACTTCATTTTTAGCATAGACTCGACTGGGAATCGAACCCAGTTTATCAGATATGGTGACACTTTGAAACCTGCGTCCTAGCTCTCTAACTTTCCTCGTATCTATCCGTGTGTAAATAAATATTGGCGGTAATTACAAATATTAATAACACTATGGCGCTATAAAACCACCAATGCCCAGGAAATAAAATAAACAAAACGATAAAATCAGTTGACACACTCACCTGGCCTGCTGAGCGCATCGCCGATTTTCTGCCAAACCACTTCCCTCTCATCAAAATCCATATGTTTCGGATGGGTAGAATTATAAATTATCGGATTCTCTTTGACCATTGCGATCAATTTGAGGTCAAGAGCCCTATTGAATGGCAAAGGCATCTGAGTTTTCGTTTTATGACGTCACTGATAAATAATATGTAAAATAGTAGTATTTACGTACGACTCTCCGGCGAGTCACGCGATGGAATGCGAGCCGCGCCGCGTCTCCGCCGCGACCCCGCCCCGTGCCCGCATCGGCCTCGTGTCGGTGCGGACTGGCAACGTCGCGTTCACGTGTCACGTACGACGCTCCGACGTACCATAGGCGCGATGTAGAACGCGCGATAATAATACAAGTGGGCGTCCGATATTCACTTTGTTTTTTTTCTATATTTAGGATTGTCCGTTTTTCGTTATCTTCTAGGTTCTAGGTAATTTTAGTTAAAACAAAAAAATATTTAGGTCGAGTAAAAACTTATTAAGTAAAAAAAGACAAATTTGCTTCTCGTGTCAATTCACCTAGGCACACCGTTGACCCAAACAACTAACAGGTACGTAGATTTGAAATGTGCAAAAAACCGCAAAAATACTTAGCACAATGATTAATAATTGATTATTAAATATTATTTTGTCAATACCAATACCATAACTTAATAATAAAAGGGTTAAATGGTGATACACGTATTCTGCTAAATAGGTAATTAATTTGGTAAATTAGGTGTACCTACCTAGGCATACAACAAGTATTAAAAATACAAAACACAATGTTTAACATATAATTAAAATATTTTAATATAAATTACAAACTCAATAATAAGTTTTATAGGCAGTCTTGTTATTCCATATAAATACATTCCGAGGTGGACATTTTCACGTCATTAGATTTTTGAACTATCTGCTGCAGATCATGTTCTTGCACAACGGCGAATATCTTGCTCTTAGCCAGATTTAAGTGGTAAGGATTGAACGTTTTTAAGGTGGCGCCTATGCTTATCAGGAAAGCATCGACCGGATCTGACGGATCAAAATCTGTAGTAGTTTCACTGTATGTCACTTCCGGTTTTTCCTCTTCCTCATAAGTTTTCTTTTTTCTCTTTCTTTTGCCTCTTTTGCTCACCAGCTTTTGTATCGGTTTCTCGGAATCATCACTGTCTCTGTTGTCCTGTTGCTCGGTAATTTCAGCGTTATTATCATCGTCCCAAGCGCTATTATCGTCTGCGTCGAAATCGCTTGTTGTGCAGACTATGTCTTTATAGAAAGCTTTCATAAATGCGAGATGGGTCTCATATTTATAAGGCCTATTGCAGCTGCCAGGATTCGTGAGGTTCTTCTTCAATATGCGCCTGTGCACGTCGCGTATGTTTATCCATCTCACCTTACAGTCACTGGCTGCAATGAAAAAAAGTTTTAGTATGGAACGTCACAGTTTTGTTAGCTTTGTTAAAAGATGGCGCTATTATTATTACCATTCGAAAATAAAACAAAATTATGGTATTAAGAGTATGGTGACACTAAAACGAAGTGTTTTGAAATTCTCTATGGGTTCAGTTCCTTGAAACTGGTGTGTGAACTCTACCACGGAGTTTTAAACGAATATGGAAATTCTTCGAAAATAAAACAAAATTGTGTTGGTAGAAGCCTCTTAATACCATAATTTTGTTTTATTTTCGATTATTTTTACGGAGTTTTAAACGAATATGGAAATTCTTCGAAAATAAAACAAAATTAGGGTATTAAGAAGCCTCTTAATACCATAATTTTGTATTTACCATAATTTTTATTATCGAAGAATTTCCATATTCGTTTAAAACTCCGTGGTAGAGTTCACACACCAGTTTCAAGGAACTGAACCCATAGAGAATTTCAAAACACTTCGTTTTAGTGTCACCATTCAGAGTCAGGTTCAAGGACATTCAGAGATTAGGTCCTGGCTCCAAAAGGAAAATCAGTATGTGCTTTACGCAAACTTTTCGATAATGAAATGGAGCAAACATAAGAAAAACATCATATTTTAACATACTTAAATTACAAAAGGTAAGGATTCGAACTTTGTCTGTTTGTATCACTGATCCGATCGTGAAAACTCTTTCATCTACGGGACACTACATCATAGGTACGGAACCTGCTGGTGACATAAGCTGTAACTATTTTTAGGTAATTTACACGAGTGAAGTCGCAAAAATACAGCATTTTTTGTATAAAATATCTATTACAACACATACATGACTCAAATTTTAAGATGACTGGCTAAAGCATTCGTACTTAGATTAAGAGATTCCCTATTGATATATACCTAATCATATATCAATAGGGAAGGATATGATGGTGATAATGCATCATCAGTTCTTTTACGTCCCCACTGCATGAGCTCAGGCCTTCCTTATGGATGCCTTAACCAGTGGGCCATAACACTCCATGCTGGCCCAATGCGGATTTTAGGGTATTAAAATCCATACCAGTATCAACAAAGAACGTAAGTACGTCTTAGATTAGACCGAGCTAGTCCACAGTAAATAATCTACGACATTATTAATAACAGTAAACAGTACTAAATGCGCATTAAAAAAAAATCCAATGTCACATAAACAAAGATATTGAAATGTCATAAATGTCTTTCTAGCTATCATGAATAAGTAATTACAAAAAATAACATACATTTTTACAGAAAAACTCACGAAATCGTCCATTATAAAACAAACACAAACTTCCAATACAAAACGACTCATAATAATGAACGATAACGAGAAAACCGGTCCAATATAGAAGCCAGACTCGTAATCGTAAAATGTAAATGCGTCACTCACCCGGCATTTTGAGCACATCTCCTATTTTTTGCCATGCGACCTCTCTCGCATTGAAGTCCATATACTTGCTGTGGTTGAAGTCATATATTACAGGATTGTCTTTCACTAGGTTTATTAGCTTCACGTCTAGTTTTTCGTGGAACATGGCGCTCATGAAGTATTGCCGACGTTCCATCTGCGACTGAAGTCGTGACAGCGTCGTGCCGCGGTCGCCGATCGATTTTACATAAAGCCGCGTTTACACTCGGTTAGAAATTCAAACGACCCAAAATAGAAATCCAAGTTATACATTTTTGTTGTATTCATTGATGGTACTATATAACTAGTATATCTATGGGTGGTATTATATAGATGACTAGAATATATCCATAGTGTTTTATTTACAATACTAGGTGGCACTTATTCTAAATACTAGACTTCCACCTATTATTTTTATAAATGGCAAATTTTAGATTCTACCATGTAACTGTGTGTCGTACCATCGTACGTAAGTAGGTTCTTACGTACTTACGTACGATATAAACTTTTGTAAACACAATATTAATGTAAGTTATGGTGTTTTATATTTTTATACATATATTTTTTAATCTATTTGTCCATCTGTTCGTTCGTCTGTCAAGACCCTTTTTCTTAGGAACGCTTGGATGTATCAAGCTGAAATTTATATCAAATACTCAAATCTACTGACCCTTGGAGCTGTGACAATATTAAACTTCTAAACCAACGCAATCAAAAGATACAGGTGTTTATGTCGCAAAGGGTTTAGCCGGATACGTATGACGAGTCGGCCCCCAAATGGGAATCGATATTGAAACTTATGTGTTAATATCGACTTGATGTTCAAACACGATTTATGTACTTTTCGCGACCGACTTCCGCTTTGACCTTGAGATAGAGAGCAAAATATCCGTATGCTTGACTATTACTGAATGTGATATATCTCTGAAGCTAATTAAGATAAAGAAGTGAAACTAACGCGAGGTGTTAGGTTACATTACAGAGTATATCACATATATTTTTTTATAATTTTTAGAATAAAAAATTACATTAAAAAAATAAAAAAAATCATGTTTTTTTTCTGAGTTCTCTGTGACTTACAATCACGAAATTAATATATGTTATGCTCCTTTGTGTGCTCTATTACCCATAAAAATTGCGTGAAAAAAAAGTTGGTGCAACACAACGAAAAAAAAATATATGTGATTTCTGTCTTATGGTATACCCCTGTATTATAAGGTTTTCACATTACATCATTGTTTTTTTTTTCGAAATTTCACATCAGCTTGTTTTAAAACATAAGTAACTAGTCTTAAGAGATGGGATAATAGTTAAAAATGAAATGAAAAAAAAAAACAGCCAGTGTTCAATACTTATTATTATTACTTTTTCGTGTCTATCAAAATACGAGAAACAAAATATTAATCATCGTCACTGTTGTAATTAATTACAATCGGAACACTTTGAGTCGCAAATAACTTAGTTAGGACCTCAGCAGGACATACGATTTTGGACAAATATCATCCATATGATAGATAATAAATAATAGCTGCTACAAGAGAACAGCATCCCACTGTACGTTCGCCATTGGGGCAATCACAGCAATAACGAAGAATACTATTGTAGTCATTACCTTCGGAAATATAGTGAATGTAAATTCGATAGACTTTTCTATTTATATGTCTTGATTTTACTTCTGCTTTGATGATATTAGGTGCTGATTTCACATATTGTACTGAGAGATTATTTTGATCGTCTATTATTTCGGCCAAGTTAAATGCTGCACATTTAGAAGTAGAAGCTTTTTTGTTAATATATGGGATAAGTCGACACTTCTTACAAAAAATATCATTAACTATTACGATTTTATTCAAACAGTCACTAAACACTTTAGCTTCTTCTTCATTCTTTATAATTTTTTAATAACCAGGAATCTTACACAGGTACTTGTTACAATTTTTACACTTTGTCGACATTATTACTTAATAATGATTTGGCTCGATAGTTAATAATTTCAAAATGCTGATACAAAAAACCTATGACAGAATTTGAGTCCCAAACTGCCTTCTTGTGTAATACAAATGACTGCTACTTTAGCTAAACAAACGATGCAGTAAACAGCTCGATAACAAGTTCGAACTTGTTTGTTTATACACTCACACTACAAGGCGCGAATCACATATAATTTTTTTTCGTTGTGTTGCACCAACTTTTTTTTCACGCAATTTTTATGGGTGATAGAGCACACAAAGGAGCATAACATATATTAATTTCGTGATTGTAAGTCACAGAGAACTCAGAAAAAAAAACATGTTTTTTTTTTATTTTTATTTTTTTAATGTAATTTTTTATTCTAAAAATTATAAAAAAATATATGTGATATACTCTGTAATGTAACCTAACACCTCGCGTTAGTTTCACTTCTTTATCTTAATTAGCTTCAGAGATATATCACATTCAGTAATAGTCAAGCATACGGATATTTTGCTCTCTATCTCAAGGTCAAAGCGGAAGTCGGTCGCGAAAAGTACATAAATCGTGTTTGAACATCAAGTCGATATTAAAACATAAGTTTCAATATCGATTCCCATTTGGGGGCCGACTCGTCATACGTATCCGGCTAAACCCTTTCCGCCAATTTTCGAAACTCGCAACGGAATCAAAACCTACAGGTACCCACCGTAAACTCATAATCTTGAAAATTGCTACAAAGCAATATCTTGAAGCACAGATAAAGGAAGAATTACGAAAACAGTAAATTTTTAATTACAACATTTAGTTAAAATATAGAGTAAATAAGAAACTACCATTTGCGAGTCCCATTAGCTTTTACTCGATTGTTTAATATCCAAATTTTTAAAGGTTAATCTACAACTAGCACCGTCTCAAAAGTGCATTTTATAGAAGTCATGTACTTAGTTCACCAAAAATATTATGTTTATGTTACTCTCTATTATTTGACATCTAAAATGTCATTTTTAATTTTTCCTTTTTTGTAATTGGGTATTTTTATCTTTTGGTAGCTTTTGTATTGCTATCAAAATCATGTACATAACTACGACAACAAGACCACTTTAAAAATAAAAAGGTATAATATTAATTTATCTCGATCATAAAACCCCATATTTAACGGTATCTACTTATCCTTTTGTACAATATAAAATTGTATGTACATATATTAACTACTTACCGAACATTGTCTACAGTCGTTATCAAAAGGTCGCAGTGTAAACGCCCTTAGGAGATTCTAGTGTGTGACGTCACGCAGACACGACTGCGTTGCGAGTTGGCAACGACGCATGCGGTCGAATTGTCGAATCGTTGCCATTCACACACACAAACAGCGTAGATAGCACAATCTTTATTTACACACGTTAGCAACGAAAACATATATTACAAAAGTATGATGCACTGCATGATTAATTGCAATCGAATGAATTTAATCCTTCGAGGACTCAATGGGGTGATGTTTGGCCCGTTCGATCCCCATATCTTTTCAGGCACACCAAAAAGGTTTTACAGCAAACACAAAATGCCTACGGTAAGTTCTGTTTCACGGTGTCTCCAAAAATACATATCACACGCTTTCTTAAAATTTGTTTTTGGATACCAAATTTGATCTATGTTCTTTTATGCTTACATATAATCAAAGTCTGCATTTGTCAAGTCATTGAATTTCATTTTCATTTTACATGTAGAAATTTATTTATTTACTTGACATTGGCAGAATTGTGCAAAATGCGCAGATAAGCCATTAATAAAAGAAGAAGTAAATAAGGATCCGCAATATTTGTCAGGCAAGCTAGTTTCAACTAATCTCAAATCATATTTGAGTCAACAAATTTTATAAAAAATATTTAAACGCGCCGCGTATGCAAAAAATGCAGTATGGACAGTATTTTGTATTTGTGGTCCAACACATGCTCAAAGTGTTGAACGCACTTTGTGATTTTCTTAGAACGAACCACATGATCTCACTTATCTTATTACAACCAAATTTTATCATATTCCGGATTGCATGGGTCCCCAACGCGGAGATGTGTAAGCAAAAATTTTAATATGCATATCCACAATCTCACTCAAATTATACGTCAAAAGCATCAGGAAAGAAGTCTGATACATCCGTTAAACACACGCAACGCCGCGGTAGGTAAGTGGGGATCTTCAAATAAGTCGTTAGGGCCTCTGCAAACCAGACGTAAAATACGTGGAGCATACGGAAGTATGTCTTGTTAGTACGAGTCGGTTGAATGTTGTATTATATTTGATCATTTTTCCATTCACAACGCTATATTGATTCTTATATAGAAAAAAAAAACTGTAAATATGAACCAGTCCCAGGTGGTTCGGGAATTTAAAAACCTTTTCGAGATCTCTTTTTTTTTGGTTACACCGGGGAGTACACTTTATGTCTCAAATAAGGACTCTCCAAGCATTAGGACTTGTCCCGTGGGACGAGGCCATACCGTGGCTGACCTACCTGATAAAACCTGCTGTGAATAACCTTTGGGGATCTGAAATACTGCATCGGACTCAACTCGAGACTCGAGACCTAACGGAACTCATGAATTTCTTAAGTACTTGTTATTAGTTTATTTGTCAGTAAGAACCGGTAAACATATGTTTGCATACGGTACGGTACGCATATGCACCGTGGAAGGGGAGCGCGGGCGGCCTCTACGGGTTCATTGACCAACGTCAATAAAACAATGGTTCACCAATGAAAGGGAGCCACAGAAATCATTTACCAGTGTAACTGAGATATTGGAGATGATAATTAATATTTATTCATTTCAATCTTCATTATTCTTTTCATCGACCACAATTATTTTCATCCATTCAACAAACACAAAAGACACTTACCTTTATCCTCAGTGACTGGATGCCTGCCCTCCAGTATCGCGTCCCTGGCCTGCACGTACAGCAGGTTCAATTGCACCGGGTCCCTCTCGTCCACATTACGGTCGGAGAAGAACAGTCGTCGCTTCAACAAGACTGTACTCTTCGGGTCCACGCACAACTCACGTAGAGTCTTGTGCTGATCCAACCAGTCCACTGCGATATAACACACCATAAAATGATGAGATATACGAGTAAATTCCCAGTAAAATTTGTGCCAACCCTAACAGTGAAATTTCAAAGCTCAACAAAATAAATATCCATGATTTTCGAGCCGTAAATGGCCATAGCTAACCAGACAGACATTTGATACTGATATTTACATATTAAATAAAAACAAATACACCTACAGGGTAAATATGGAACAGTGATGATCTACAAATTTAAGCATACGCATAGGATAATTATAATGTACAATTATACCAGAAGTTTGTTTCCTCCATAGACTTGGAACGGAGGTTGGACAGTTTTGTAAACTGAAGAAATTACCATAAGCTGTTCTGTTGGCTGATCACAATAGATCTTTTAGGTAGCTACCTATAGATCTTTTAGGTAGCTACAAAATATGGAATACAAATAAAATAATATTGAAAGACAAGCAAATTTAATTTTTCGGATCAAATCTCAAATATAACCATGCTTCTATTAACCATGATCGTCGGTCTTAAGTTTCTTGCTGAGCTGCTGCAGCTTAGCGTCTCTCTCGCGCTGTTGAGCGACGCGCCTCGTCAGAGTCCCTGTCCCGGGAGCTATCTTATTTTCATCCTGGTCTTCCTCGCCGGTATGACACTGGGAATAAGACGAATTATTGTAATGGTGGAATAACAATAACTTGCCCTGCCAGTGATGAGCAGTGCTCTTTCTGTGTAAAGATGGAAAATAGGTAAGAGGAACTGTATAGTACCTACCACTTAGGCCCAGAAGGCATTGAGATGGATATTGAATGAATTTTAAATAAACTGTAATAAATAAAAAAATAAGGTTCCATAAAATTAATGAATACTATCTTCTTAATGAAAACAAACTACCTACAGACAACAACGACAGCTTTAAAATCATTCATATTTTTTGAGTGCCTGATTAATCAAAAATATTTTTAGACTACGTAAGTGATTTCGTCATTTTATTATCTTTTATTTGCACTCTTAAAAATTATTCACATCACTCACCAATCCGTATTCATCGTAGTTGGTGATGCCGAGTCTACCGCAGATGCCCACCATCAGCTGCTCGACGGTCTTCGACTCGTCCACAGGCATAGTTTTCACAGAACCTGGTGATTGAGGTTTCATTTAACCTAGATTATCTCATTGGTATATCAATCCATGTAGGTACTACTTTTCCTTTTTGATGCACAATTTCCGTGTCTCTCTATAACTCTAGCCAAACTAATATTTATTTATCTAATATTTATTTATTTATTGAGAAAACCAACAGCGTATACGCGTACGTATATTTTAACAAAAACTTTTAATTAATTAATTTAACAAAACTGATAAAATTTACATACTATTATACAGTGCTAACCAAAGTGATCTACTGATTTAATTTACTCATCATTACCAACTCTATAACTAACCTCGTATTTAATATTAATTTTTCTAAAATATGTATGTGTTATATGTACGCACGATTCGCGACAGAATAACAGTGTGACAATGTAACAATGGTGTATTGCGGGTACGATCTTTGGGAGTACGAAAGATCAATCTTGACAGTAAGTACGGACAATCGACTCTACTATTAATTATGTCATACAGAAAATCCATATCCAAGACAACACGCCGCCACGCGCCACTCCAAAGATAGCAAATTATATTCGGTCTTCGATAAATTTTATTTTAAATAAAAAATCGTATATTATTGCGCATACAACGCTATGCAATAATCTAATGAAATACACTAACACGATACAAAATGGAAACAAAGCATCCAGTATGTTGTGTCTTGTTTGACATAAGATACTGGATGTTTTATGTCCATGTGTCTTGTTTTATACTATTCTCAGTGGAGCACATTCTCACCGTCTAACATGCGCACTCTGAGGTTCCTGAGTCGGGAGAGATAATGCAGCTGATCCCCGTCGCGCAGCATGTAGTAGTCGAGCTGTCTGTGCCTCTCCAGCCAGATACCACTCTTCTCATCATCCGCCGAGGTCAGGAATAGGCCGTAATCTAAGTTAAATATGATACAAAGATGAAGAAACAATGTATTACATGACGACTTCCGAAGCCGAATCGTTTCCACACCGGGTCGAGGTGAGGTAACGCGGCTTCAATGAAGAAAATGTGCTTTTGTATAATTTCTCTGGTCTGGATGTTGTGGCACAGTTACCTCATAATACGAGGGCTTTAGCTACACTCATCTTGGAATCTGAACAATCTGCAACCATTAGTGCATGCAGGGTCAAGTGTGAGTAAGTAATCCTATTAATATTAGAGGTATAAATGTGAAAGTTTCTTTGGATATTTGTCCGTCAATCACGCCGAAACTACTGAACAAATTGTGATAAAATTGGGTATACAGATAGAGTATTAGCTAACTTAGATAATAGTATACATTTTATCCCACTGAACATTTCCCTGGAGACCACGCGGGCCAAGCCGCTAGCGAAAGCTAGTTTTTTAATAAGTTCCCCTGTAGTTTATTTTACAGGTAGACATTATTTTTATTATTTGCGCGACAGTTTGTGTTGTGCCGTATTAAAGAGAAAATACCCAGGATTAATAATGATTAATCTGTAACGTTCCTCTGAGTCTCACACTCACAGCTATAGTCCAGAGAAGTAATTACTTGAGACAATGTCATAACTTTAGTCATATATAAAAACGAATTTGAATGAAGTACGTAAGAACTCTCAAAAGTTAGAATAGGTATTATTTGAACACTATTATTATTAGCTATTGACAATCCTTAATTCATTAATATTCTCGTCTATTGGTTAAAAATATTTGCTGAAGTTATGACATTTTCTCTTGTAGGAATTTACTTCTCTCAACAATATACTTATACAATTGTCAAACTCTATAGACAGAAAAAGCACATTTATTAATGATCGAACTACCGCTGCAACCATTTACGTTAAAAATTCTTTTGTCTTCTTTTTTTTAAAAAAACCCCAAATTGTACACTACACCTACAGCCATTACAAAATCAGTATACATATAACCCGACTAGGAATCGAACCTGGGAATTCAAAGATGGCGACACATGTGAGAATTTTGGCCACGGAATTCGTTTGAAATGTAAGAATTTCTCTTTATATTTCTTCTTGTTACTCTTTACCTTTTCCATCGTGGGCGGTGAGGACCTTCTCCCGGACGATAGCTTGAGCTTCATCCACTCGCATGGTGGACTCGAACATGACCGTACGAGTCACTGCACCGTCGTCCAACACGACCTTTAGCGAGAGTGGCGCCATCTTGACAACTAGGGATAAATAATATTTAAAAATTACTTTTGGTGATATTGTAAAAATGAGCAGATATTTGCTAATGCCGGTTAAAGGATAGGTGACGAAAATTATCTACCTCGAGCTAGATGGCTTCGGACGGCTCTTTAAACGTTTGTTCCAGAATGCATCTACTGTCGTTAACACCCACCAATCCGCAACGAACCCACGTCATGGGCCATTCTCCCTATTCTATTCGCTTCCATCCATCGGGGAGGCTTGTGTTGTGTCCCAGCAGTGGAAATATTAATAGGCTGACGATGTTGTTTATTCAATAAACAGTTTCCGGTAAAATTTACCTCCTCACGTATATTTGTTAACAATGTTAATCGGAGTGTTATTAATAATACCGGATATTTGTACGCCACCGATGACTCAATACACAATTCTAATTTAAACATTTGTATCATTCTGTGGTGACGACTCCATGACTCTTAAACATAACAATAAATTTATAATTCTTTTTTAAATGTTGGCGCACTACTACATCCTTCGGACAAGTGTACTTTAACACAAGTCTTATCGCTTTTAGCGATAAGACCGCCTTTGCCCACTAGAATTAAGCTTTCATTTGTGTGTGAGCAATAAAGAGTTCATCTATTTATCTATCTAACGGACTTATATGGCGGACTCCGCCAATAAATCGCCTTCAAAAGCTAGGTATATTACATATCCCATTGGATGCCATAACTCTAACAATGCAAATAATCACGTTGTCGTCCACGAAACGCGAAAACTAACCGCCACCCCCCCAAAATCTAAATTATAATAGTACGTCTATGAAGCTTGCCCACGCAGCCAAAGGCTGAAGTCATAATCATATCAAACGCCGGCAGTGATCCTCCGTGTTCCTATCCATTCAGAATGTATTTACGTGGAAGAACTACCCTACCGGACTAGACACTACCGGAGTTTTTACATATAAAAGCTTCTTGATGATATCCTTACGAGATCTCATATCAAACATGTGCACTAAGGTGAACAGCTACTAGAAGAAATAAAGTTTCATCCCCTATTTTGTCCATTTAGATGTGGAATTTATCAAAATTCTTTCTTAGGGTGCATCCCCTACCTTTCTTGTACCCCATCATAGTACATTTATTATGCAGTCTCGGTTAAAAATCGGTTTAAAATTGACAAAGTTTCATACAAACTTTCATCCCCTATTTTATCCACTTGAAGGTAGAATTGATTAAAATGCATTCTTAGGGGATGCCTACGTCATAACATCTAACCGCAAGCCAAATCGCAGCCCGATCTGTCCAGTGATTTGATCTGTGCGTTGATAGATCACTATGTCAGTCAGTCACCTTTGAGTTATATGTATTTAAATAATATGTTTACAATCCCAAATAAAGCTCTATACATTACTTTGAATAAATGATACGTATATCTACGTTAATACCAAATCATATTATATGTTAAAGTTTATCACAATATACTCGAATATCACACAAATTGCCTCAAACAAGAATCGATCGGAGCACCGCAACCGTCTTTTATTAAGTCTGTTGCAGCATTTATTTCCGTTCTCTTCACTCACGTTCACTCGTCCAGTGTAAAACTTATACACATACTATGGACCTTTATTATTTACTACATCATAAAACTACCTACGTATTTCCGATCTCGAGTCGTTGACTTCAATAAAGTATCATCGTTTTATCTGTTTAATTAGCATAAAGTCAACGTTAGTTTTTACTGTAACTAGTTAAATATAGAGAAACATTGAGTCTTAAAAGTGATAATAATTTAAAATAAGTTAGATATACACAGAAATTTACTCATACAACAAAAAGATAAATGACACTCACAATACAGATATTGTTTCCTACACAAAAATCAACAGCAATTTCACTAAACACAACACTTAGTTCCACAAACTGTGATAATTACGAAATTTGGAAAGAATACACTCACTAAGAAAGTAACTTGACAAATTAACAAGATCGATAACCGATCTCTTGCTATGCACTTCGTAAACTAAACTCAGATATTATATGGAAGAATGTGTCAGCGTGATTCACTGGTATGACAACACGCCTTATGATCCGACCGGGCTTGACCTTGATTTGAACCTTACAAGAATCACAGCTGATCTTGACTTACTAATCGACATAAAACTATCATCGGCTATTACTAATCCGTAACGAAGCTTACCTTTACCCGATTACGGTTAAGCAAAAACGATATGTTTTAATCTGCATGTTTGTGGGTCACGTTTATCATGTTTCCTATTAGTTTCTAAACTTATACTACTCATATAAAATACGATTGATTGTTCTGTTTATAGTCTCTGTGACGTCTACTTGTATATTCACTCCATATATAGGCATGTGTGAAGCAAGAGGGGGGCCGGGTGAGCCTTGTCCACATCAGATCTATTCTAATAAGATCTTAAAAGCGCTTCCCTAGAAAATGTTATTTATATCAACGACTTGCCTCCGAAACTCAAAAATCTGGGATTGCTTTACGCCGATGATTTGAAGATATATGCACAGATAAACACAGTCGAAGATTGCGAAAGCCTTCAGTCAGATATCGACACCCTGTTGGTTTGGTGCCGTGAAAACAGTATGAGCCTTAATGTAAAGAAATGCTCGACCATAACATTCACACGCAAGAAAAACCCATTGCTATTCCAATATCATGTAAATAGTATACCGCTTGAAAGAAGACAGGTCGTTAGAGATCTTGGTATAATGTTTGACAACAGGCTGAGCTTCACCACTCATTATGATATGGTCACCACTAAGTGTAGACAATTGCTAGGATTTATTTATCGTATGTCCCGTGATTTTAAATCTCCAGAGAGTGTGCTTCTACTATACCGCTCTCTGATTCTTAGTCGGATTGAATATGCTTCCGTGATTTGGTCACCTTATTATCAAAACCACATCGATAGGTTGGAATCAATACAGAGGCGAACTCTCAAAATGTTGACCATAAAACAAGGCCTCAAGCGTGAGCTCTGTTCCTATAGCGAACGTTTGCGTTTCTTTGGTTTGCTGAGTCTTTATGATCGCCGAAAAATGCACGGTATTCTATTCTTATATAAAATATTGAACGGGATGATATCTTCATCTTTGTTATCGGAAATTCACTTGAGAGCGCCTTCTAGATTGCCTAGGCTGCTGCGCCCATTTAGTGTGCCACTCGATGCCAACAATTTGTCATTTAACAACCCAATACATAGAATATGCCGTGACTTTAATGAACTTCATAAAAATAATGATAATTTGGCAATACCTGACATCTACAGTTCGTCTTTAAACGTTTTTAGGAATGGAATATGTAAATTGAAAATGGGATAGATATTGTATTGTATTTTATTGTTTAATTTATTGATTTTAATTATAATTATACATATTCATTATGAGATTAGGAAAGCTAATAATTTTACTTATTTATTTTTTAATTATGCATGAATTTTGAACCCACTCTAAATTATGTTTGCCTTGATTTTGTCTCATGATGTTGTGTACACATGTCATTGGAAGTGCAACTCGACATGCTGCATTGTTACGTGATGACTTATTTATTGATGTAATTGTATTTCTGTTTGTGTACCGAATAAATAAAAAAAAAAAAAAAAAAAAAAAAATATCTCTGGTTACGCCCATGTCTATAGGACATAAAGTTCTAGTATCAATTTTTAATACCATATTGGTTATCAAGATGAAAAGATAAGGCCTATATATAATAAAAATATTTATATTGTTAGCTGATTTCCCCTGGCTTTGTTTGCTTGCATCCAATGATTGCAAATAACCACTTAAAGTCCCCCCTTCGTATGTTATCTTTTTTAAAGCTTGCTTTATCAAAGTTCGCTTGATGACATTAAATCCGCCTTTGTACGTTTGTAATAGTAAAAAATAAAATTAAACAAAGCGAAGAACATTGAAAATGATATAGATTTGCTCAAATTCCAACACGAATTGAAAAGTTAATTTTCTTCATTGACCATACTGGGAATCGAACGTAGGAAAACAGAGGTAGCGGCACCTTAAAACCGACGTGCGAACTACTCGGAGGTCGTCAACTACGAAAGTCTGATACGGTGACGTCTTGACGCTGGAATCTTGGCTTGGACGCGGCCGTCGACACTCAGATCCATTATGCCCACTATCGGTATTACTCCATATACATATACATAAAAGATATCAGGCTGTCTTTATTTATATAAAAGTCAATACTCGGAGTGTAACGGGACAGTAGTTTAATGACATTGGTTGTGAATTCTGATATTCAATCTCACTAGTAAGCAGGTATTTATTTATCCGCTAAGATAAAAAAATGTGAAATACTCTGCCCTATTGTTATAAAATAATTACAATACCACAATAATAATATGCTTAATATATAAAAATTTGTACACATAATAATTTGTACATCTGTAAGCATTATGTCGTAATACAAATCTGGGTTACCTCAAAGCACTTTACTAGGCCCCCCACTTCTCTGAATTGGAAAGAATCGAAAATATAAAAACATGCTACTGCTTACGTGGGCGTTCATTTAATAAATCAACTTGTAACAAGAGAATAATGTGAGCGTCGATGGCTGCAATATCGTAACAGTCCGAGTGTACGTAGACATGATTTGCTATATTTCAATAAAAACAGCCTCGTATTCGACGTCGAACACAGCGCTGTTACAGAATATTTTCAATAAAATAAAAACTTTATTACCATTTGTTGCAGGGTTTTTTTTAATCAAACCTCTATGTTGTAATTACTGAATAAAACTGCAGGTTCACGTGATAAATCTATACTAATATTATAAAGCTGAAGAGTTTGTTTGTTTGAACGCGCTAATCTCAGGAACTACTGAAAAAATAATTCGAATTGAAAAATTATTTTTGTGTTGAATAGACTATTTATCGAGAAAGGCTTTAGGCTATATAACATCACGCTGCAACTATTAGGAGCGAAGAAATAATGGAAAACGCGGACGAAGTCGCTGGCGGCCACTAGTTATCAATAAAAACTCACTTTTAAGTCTGATACTAATTGTAAGTAATATGCGATATTGTAGTTGTCCATTATGGAATGAATAATCTGCTAATCTCGTTACGAGTGATATTTCCTTCAACCAAAGGATGCATAAATATTGCACCAAATATTTTTTTTACAGTATTCCGCCGTATTACGTATATTATCTGCGGTAGAATCTATAAATTCACTGGTGTTTATAAAATTTACTCTGATATTTATAATTAAGTACGTACTTACCCAATTAAAGCTGATAAATCCAAAGTTATTACACTTCGATCGCTTATGTTAAATTAAACGAGTGTGTCTCAATGGAATTTGTCACAATATGAGCATTATCCTGTTTGAAAATAAACATTGCTTGTTGCTGGCGTTTAACAAGGATAGTTAATATATTTATGAGGAAAATTGGGTATTTAATCGGTTGTGTTACATATTTAAAGATCCCCTTTATGTGATGGTAGAATTTTAAATAATTAGATAGGGCAAATGACCGGTTTTGACCATTGCCCACTTTTCGGCTATTTAGCACTTCAAGGGGTTCTATAACTAACGCATAGATAAGTAAATATATAACTTTCTGTGAACGGTTTAAAAAATGTATACTAATTGATCTAATAAAACCATACCTATGTTTATTAAAAGTTTATAATAAACTTTAAACAAATGGAATTTTATAAAGTTTGAATATAATTTTATGACAATAGTGTACGCCTACGGACGAATCTATGAAACACCGGATAGAAAATGTAATAAGGGTTAAGGATATGGTTAACGTTCACTGCAAATTTGAATGAAGAGCCGTCAAGCGTCTCACACAGTTTGCAATGTCGTATACCCATAATCAGTTCTGATGCATACTAAAATAACAAATAAAAAACGTCAGTAGACTTTTAGACTGATTTAATTATCACGCTGACCGTCGGTGCTGGTAGACTAATATGTATGGGCTCTATAGAAGCGTTCTATAGATACGCCGACCGCACAGCGCTGACGAGCGTCGGCGCTGAGTCGTGCGCGGCCGTACGCGTCGAGCGTCGGCGCTGACCCCTATATTATTATATAAAGTACTCTTTAGCGCTGACTATCGCACGCGCGGCTCCACCTTCAACTAGCGTTCCAGTGTCGAGCCGAGCGGGCGCCGTCAGTCATATGATATGGCGATGAACACAGGAGTGTGTGAATGCATCCGATTCACTCTACAAAAATAAAGATGCCAAAAAGAAGTCCTACTGCACACGTGGTAACTTATCACTAAATCAAAATTTCTTGTTGACATGGGAAAGTAATAGGGATGATGACTAATTTTTGTTTGTTTGTCCGTCAGATAGAGTGTTAAAAAATATTAAACACGTATTTTTTATTTTTTTTCGTAATCATAAAATTACGGCGTTATATTGAGTTGAAATTTCCCATGACGTCACGTCAGAGTACGTTTTCTACTCAACTGTGACGTAGCAAGCCCCCACTCCTCAACTTTAATGCCTGTTATCTAAGCTATTTCTTGTTAAATTGAAGTAAAAAAAAATACGTATCTAATATTTTTCTATTATCAAACTGACGGACTAAATAGAATTGCATTTTTTTTACCCAGTCATCATCCCTATTAAAGGACTCGATATCGTCGTCACTTTTAACTCTATTTCAAACAGTGTCAACTGGTTGAACAATGTCACGAATGCACCCACTAGCAGTCTTTGAGCAAAAGTGGATGTGCATGCCGTGTTCTTCCTTTTCTGTGTCGCAAAACAATTGGAACACTCACCGGATTGGCCATGTCTGTACTTCGCAGCTATCAGCACGGCGCTGAAACGAGTATGCGCCATAGGTATGCGCTGACAGGTAGCGCTAATAGCTACGCCCTTAGTCGTCAGCGCAGAAGGTCCGCATTACACTCAATCGATTTGCTTGATCGCGAGAGTAGTTTGTTAAGTAGGTTATTTAATTAAGCACACTAAATTGACGTACCTACCTCACCTTGTCGATCGTTAAGGTCATTTTTGGTATTTGCGTCACCATTTTGACTACATCAAACAAAGTACAAGTAATAGAAGGTAGTATAAATATTACATTATAAAAATGTAAATTAAAACAATAGTTTACAAGAATAAATAGCTTTATTTTCTTTATACATAAAATATATTTAGTCTCAGCTATATTTTTAATTTGATCTATATTCTGATGCGTTGCGTGTAGTGTACATTAATCGAGAAAACAAGACAAAACCATGACAAAGAGAAGGAAACTTATTATGAATATATGTCTGTTAATTAATTAAAAAATCTATAAAATCAAAAACAGTCAAACTGTGATTGTAAACTCATTAATTATTATTGTCAGAATATAAGAAGCTATTGACATGCAAGCATTGAAATCTATCTATCTCATCATCTAAAGCGGTCTCTATACGATCACGCATGCATGTGTTTACGTAATATGCTGCATGATGCACCATCATGCAAGTACCTAATATTATAAAAAAAGGATTTTTAAATAAAAAGACGAACAATCTCTCGTCACTACTAATTAGTGTATTTTAGGACTGTTGGATGACATGCAGATCTGAAGACGATCATGCGTGCATGTCAGTCGTAGATTGCATAGCAAAAACTAGAGAGAGTTGTCAATCAACTGTCAGCACGTAGGTTTCATGTCATTAGTGTCAATTACGTTCGTATTTGTATGCCGCATGATCTTCTAGAGACCGCTCAAGGTTCATAGGCCATCTATGGCAAATAGTTTTGATATAATATAGGTATTTAATTTACTTAGCTATAGTAACTTACCCTTAATTCAGTAAATAATAATCTGCCTCATTATGTACTTTATTTCCTTGCAACTAATAAAAATATAATTTTAGGCAGCCTAATCAACTCAACTATTTATACTTATATAATAAATATTACCAAAATTTCATTAAAATACACTTGTATGTATTTTGTTTTTGTGTGTACAATATATAATATTCTATCTATCTATATATTTTGCGGCTAAAGGTAGCCTGAACACAAAGTTAGAAGTCGATGGTAATTTAGTTGGCAAAAACTTAAAAGCTGGAATTATATTAAGTCTACGCCGCGTGTGGTTCATTACATGGTTTCATTCATTTGCCCGATACGCGAGACGAGGCTAAATATATTCAACCCCTTACTACATTTATAAAATCAACCTTTAGTTATCATCAAATTATTGTAGTAGCTCGGTGGCGTAGTGGATAAGCGCCGCAGCCCGCGATCGTTGTCGTTAAGCAACTTTCGCAAGGGTCGGTCACGGGATGGGTGACCAAAAAATTATTATCTTGAGCTACTCCGTGCTTCGGAAGGCACGTTAAGCTGTTGGTCCCGGCTGCATTTGCAGTCGTTAATACCCTCCAATCCACATTGGGCCAGCGTGGAGGATCATGGCCTATCCTCCTTAACCATCCATAAGGAAGGCCTGAGCCCCTGCAGTGGGGACGTAAAAGGGCTGATGATGATGATGATCATGAAGTTATCATCACATCAAACTGAGTTTTCAATTATGTAAGCAACTAAGATGGCAAGAGAAATCTTGTTACACTACAGTATAAAGAAGTACCTTTATTTCTTATATGACACGAAACAACAAAATTACACTAAAATAAACCCAAATAAAAGTTGAAATTCCCTTACATTATTATATTAAAAGAGAAATGGCATTAATGGATAGATTATCTAAGTTTAGCCGGCTCATCTTATGTTCACCTAACTTTAGCCGTAATATTTTCAATGTTTTTGTAGGAATTAAACTACCTATGCGTTTTAGGCCAAGAGGAAACTTGCACTGAAAACTTTTTCTTATTCTTAAAAAATATATTAAAAAAAAAAAACTTGAAATTCTTTTAGTAATCGTATAGGATGTATAAAATTGTATCATATGTCGCCGTAACGTTATGCAACTTCAGTCTATAATGCTACTAGAATAATTATAATCTAACCTAACCTAAACCTAGATAGTTTTTAATCTAAGGAGACAGATTATATAGGAGACAGAAAATTTACGGTGACATACAATAAACAAACTTGTAAACAAATACGAAGCTATCCCGCCCCACCACGTTTCACACCACGTTATCCACGAAACGCGGGACGGAACTAATGTGATCAAAACTTTACTAAATATATAAAACGGATCCGATAGGCTACAGAAAGGCTTATCAGGCTAGATATAACTGCAGCTTTAGTATTTAAATTTATATTATATAAGTAGACATATAGACGAATCAAAAGCTTGAGAATAACAAATAAAAAGAAACAAATAAAGAATATTTAGTTTATTAGAATAAATAAAACTTAAATAACAACAAAAAGAAACAAAAAATCCGCCGTAAAAAAAGAGAATAAACCACTCGGTTTAGTAAATTTAGTTTCGGTAATCAATCATTATATAATGTTACCAAAATAAAATTTTCGTTATAACATAAATTATTACTATCTTAAAAATCATGTATACCAATTATTAAATATTTTTATATACTCACACAATTACACATAAATGTATATGTGTTTTTCATATTTTTAGATGCAAACTGTTGAAATTTATCATAATATTTAATTCAGACTTAGAGTCTCAACTTGACATAAGAACGCTTGGACTTGAGATGATCCAGCAACTGGATAGGTGATTACTTCTAAACTCATTATCTTGTTTTTTTTTCTATCTCTGTTTATAATGTATTGATCTGGTAATGACATGGTTTTTGTAAATGTCATTACTCCTATTAGAGCTGGTGAGTTTCTTGCTCGTTCTTCTTATCAGCCAAAAGACGTCCTGAACGAGTGGTAGGGAAAAAAATGTTGGACGATTCTAAAGTACTTTTAAGAAGTCTATTTGAATAAAGATTATTTTGACTTTGACATACTGCGACAGGTTCCAATAGTAACTGTGATGGATTTATTATTTTATATTTAACTTTATAAATAATCAATTTTAAATAAGGATTTCGTAATTTTCAAATGTTAAAACTTAAGAGTCTGCAGTGGATTAGACGTGCCTAAAAATATGAAAGACTATATTATAGGTATAGATTCACATGTTCAATAATTGTTATATCAAGATTACTTAATACATTTCTACGCTTATTAAATGTTACATTTAGAATAAAACTATTCGTTCGTACAATACTTATATATATATAATTAGTCACAGATAATGTTTGTTTAAAAATTTTACAGTTTCTAGTTTGCTCTATAAAAGAAAAAAAAACAGTTTCGAATGTTAATAATGACGATCTGTATAAGGCATTAAGATTTAAAATCAAATGGAGATATTTCAAGTTTTTGGTTTACTGATGTATTCACGAAATGTATGCATGAAATATATAAAAGTACATTATTTATTTAATAAACAATTACCGATTTAAACATGCTTAAAGAAAAAAATATAAATGATAATTTAAAAAGTAATCAATCACCTTTTGTTGATTTGCATCACATTCATACAGGTAAAGCGCTTAAAAATAACTTACAAAATTAAAAAAACATCAATTTTTATATTATATATATAAATATTGATAGTAAATATTGAAACAAAAGAGTAAAGCCATAATGAAATATATAATAATATTCTATCAGCTAATTTTAATCACAATATGTATTGCTATAGCTTATGTGAATTCTCCAACACGAATCTTTATTCGATTTAAAATTAATAAAGGCCACATCTGAATTGGTTCAGGTCATGGATGATAATTTAGTTGCTCAATAGGTAATGATCGAGACAGATCTATTAATATCTTAGATAATTTGTCCTTGTATGGATATGCCCGGATTTTGAAATATATTCAAATAGGTACAATAGTTATAAAAAAATATTTTTCATCATTCAAAATCAAACAAGCTTCCACTATTGCTATTGCACGTGATAGACTTCTAAACTATTTTGTAACCTCCATAACAGGTGTCGTATCTATATTAACATGTACGTTTGATGTTAAGGATTCGAAACATCCTTATTTTATTTTTTAAATTAAAAATAATAAATTCGTGTTGAAGGGAATCGTCGTTAATTCTCTACGTTGGGATACTTATATTAACATGGTTTATGTTTCAATATATTTAGTAGTTAGGCTATATATATAACACCGTACAAGTTTAATATTATAAAGCACTATAGAATGGCACTTTCATTCTCAAATCACATTCACTTTTATATTATGAATTTATAATAAAAAAAAATATACGGTATTTGTGTAAAAAACTAATACTTGTACTAATTTTTGTACGTTTATCTAAGGTACGTACTTTAACAAAAAATCTGCCAATTGAAATTCGTTACTTGAGATTTGTACTAATACCGTCATCTATAATAATTTTTATACATTAAATAAAATATTCACATAACTAATCCGTGACATAAGTCAGCAATGTTTCTTTTCAAACGCTAAACGTCTACAAAAATGAGTAACTGGTATTGTAACATATTTAGATAAAGGCTTAAAATCTTCCGAAAACATTTTCGTTGTTCAAAACATAAGTAATAAATATATATCAGTACCAGAGGTCGGAATTAGGTAGAGTTATTTATGTACTTGCATCGAAATGTTGATATTAATGTGGACCTTCCCGGGATTTCTTTATTTCTTCTTTCTTTATTTCTTTCTTTCATTGATGTAAGTTTGGCAACTTTGTGCGTGCAGTAGTTTAAATTGTGTAAAAGTAAATAACTTTTTATTTAAAAAATCACGAGATTTTTTGCTCTTTAAAATTAATCTCGGGATTTGAGGCATATCCACTTTATTCTTTTATTCTTTCGCTGTATGAAATCAGTGTAAGTACATGAATAACTCTACCTAATTCCGACCACTGATCAGTACACACGATAAATAAAATTAGTACTACATATATTCTTTAGTAATAGAAAATGTACAACTTATAAAGAAAGTTAAGATTTTCGATGTAAATTCATTTTATTGTGATATTAAAGAATAAACTACGTGATACTACAGAGGTATATAAATTACCAATAATATACGTTATCGGAAGCACTTTCACTATTATTTTTAAATATTTGCTTACACTATATAAGAACATAAGTATTATTAAAATTATAATATGCGTGGAAGGCTAAATTACAAAGTGCAGAAAATGTCGACCAATCAGAATATTTGAAGTGTCACGCCATCGGGCGAACACCAATAACCACGCGCCTGACCCGTTACCGCTGAATATCAGTGAGATGGAAACCTAATGGGTTGTATTTTTCACCTTACGATTATTTCAATAAGAGTCATTATACATTTTAAACGTACGGTCGGTCATCATAGGTAGGGCGTTTCTGCACAAACGAAGAATAACCACGCGCCATACTAGTCGAAATTTATTGTATTTCAAGTCAAGGCAAAGGGGTTTAGCCATACTGCCAAACATGAGTATACTCTTTATCCGCGCTAAATGAATATGGGCGAGTAGAGCGAAACAGATGTTTACTGTGTTCGCTCTCTTACTAGTAACGTATCAACGGTTGGCTGTTTACTCAAGGTTTGTGTTGGAAACGCACAATCCTTGAGTAAAAAAATGAAGGTAAAGAAAGTCAGGAGCGACATATTTAATTATTAAAAAAAAACGGTAAATGTAGAGCATATAGGCGTGAAGGAGCATGTAACTATTTCATTATCCAAATCTATAAATTACAAATCTCCTACGCGTTTAGCTGCATTTAAGGATGAAATTAAAATACGAGTTTAGCATTTTGCTACTCTTACACTTTCCAATATTCTTTAAGCTGGAACTAAATAGAACGCTATTTTACTCGTTACCTGCCACAACTACACAACTACAATGTGGCAAGTCGCCACGGGCCCCTAGGGTATCCAACATTTATTATTGCACGTTAGATGAAAACAAAAATTGTTTTATCTTTATTTATGTGAGCATACACAAGTGAAAAAATGTGTATTTTTTTCAACATGGGTTGCCAGTGATTACTGATTATCTTGTGTGAATATGTTTATATGGGGCCCCTCCGTTGGGACGTGGCCCGCTCAGACCTGGTACCAGGGCGAGCGCCGCACCCAGCGCAGCCGGTAGCCGCCGCGCTCCGTGCGGATCTTGATGGAGGCGCCCTCCGCCGCCTTCACGGTCTCCTTCACCTGCACAGTACCGTGGTTACACATTACCCTTGTAGAGTAGCTCGGTGGCGTAGTGGATAAGCGCCGCGGCCCGCGATCGTTGTCGTTAAGCAACTTTCGCAAGGGTCGGTCACGGGATGGGTGACCAAAAAAAAATATTATCTCGAGCTACTCCGTGCTTCGGAAGGCACGTTAAGCCGTCGGTCCCGGCTGCATTTGCAGGACGTTAATACGCTCCAATCCGCATTGGGCCAGCGTGGAGGGTAATGGCCCTTCCTCCTTAACCATCCATAAGGCCTGAGCCCCTGCAGTGGGGACGTAAAAGGGCCGGTGATGATGATGACATTACCCTTGAGTTACACCTGCGCCCCGGCAGTGGGCACAATCACATGTCGTCATGTGAGCGCCGCAGAATCTTCGAGAGGATAGACAAAACGCTATCTTACTCGCTCTAACACTTGGCAGTTCTGAGAGCCAGAGTAGCATAAGGCAGCAAAATGGGCGAGACTGGCTCGATTCACAGATATGTGTATATCAAATGAATATTTATGCGGGGACCAACGTGGACGGCACTGAGCGTCACGACGCTCGATCTCTACGTATATATCTCGCTCTCTTGACGTTCAAACTCTATTCATACACGCACGTACGTTTTTATCGCTTCTAATAGCACACATGTCTGGCCGTCAATTATCATGAAACACTCACACTTTGCATCAAGTTTTGGGCGTTGCCGACCAACATCTCCGTCGCTTCTTGGTCTTCTTCGCTACCTGACATTACAAAGTAATAAGAAATTAGATAAAATATACCCTTATAGTAAGATTATAAAAAAAAATTAGAACAAAAGAATTAGAAAAAGAATTAGAAATAACTTGGATTCATAAAAATCGATGTCGTGCGAAGAGTTCATATTATTATGATTTCAATAAATAATGTTTGTACAGTACAAATACACACGCAAACAAACATCAATGTTTATGTTCTAGTGCTGTGCCGGGTCGTTAAAAATATGTATCCGCAGATGAGGATCCGAAGACGGATATTTGGCGTCATGGATCCGCGGATACGGATACAGATCTTTATTTTCTTATTCTACCGGTGTCGACGGTCTCGCACCGTGAAACGATAGTTGAAGTGCGTCCGTCGCAACGACAGGCAGGACATGTTCCGACTTGCGTTGCGCGGATACTATTGCTACGGTTAGTTGATAAATATTTGCAATAAAATAGTCTTTTAGTAGTTTTTTAAGTTTACCTAGTCACATATATAGAAATAAATAATTAATATGTATATATATGTAATAAATATAGAATTAATATGATAAATGATCCACGAGAAAAGAAACGGATTCGGAAACGGATACCCGGAGACTGACATTACATAAAAATATACCATAGTTAAAAAACAAATACATAAGAAAAATGAAAGACAGGGTTTTAAAAGAGGTGCACATTTGCAGTGTTATTAATATACAAGGTTAAGCGTTGGAGTAAATTTATACTGAGACCACATTTAATATAAGTCAACATTCATATCATTAAACATAGATTTAACAAAGGTTAAGGTTAGTACGAAGTTCAACGTGAGTAATATTTACTCCTAGAAGGTATTAGATTTGCTTATGCTATGTATAAAATGAATAAAACTAAAATTGTAAATACACCCCCACGCAAAACTTTGTCCATTAATAGCACAGCTAAAGCTTGCATGTTACCTTTATAATCCGCCATGCCGACTGTTAGGGAAGCAAGAAGCCATATTAATGCGATTTAGCAATATAAACAATATAATATATACAAATAATGAAGTTTTATATTCTTAAAAACAACTCATTTAATTATACTAAGTCTACATCTTCAAATCATAAGAACAATTAAAACTACATAGATGTTAATTTAAATAATTACTTGTCACTAAGCCATAAATATAATGTATATAACAAAAAGCCTACATATAGTCATTACTTTCAATATTTTTTCTTAGAAATGTTTTTTCTCTGCATTAAGCTTATTATAAATTATAATATGACAATGACAACAATTTATATTTACCTTGAGCGCCCAACATGGTCGCTTTGACAGTTGACAATATCTTGAGTTGTGTCCCGATGGTGGGGATACGCTCGCACACTTGCAGGAGGTTCTGAATGCAAGAATATATAATTTTTTGTATCTCTAAACTATAGTTTTAGCTTATTATGTAAATAAAACACGAATAAGCACAGAATGAGAAGTTCAACGCTATAGTTGTAATCAGTAAAAATGAGGTCATATTATAGCAATAAAGTTAACAATTAAAAGATTTTTTTTTAAATATAATAATATTATAATTATAAAACATCATTTATTCTCTCAAACAGATTTCAAAATATAATAACATCCAAAAATCTAAGTAGAAGGGTACAATTTTGTAATCTACGTGAGAGACTGGTGTCTGTACTAATAGAACTGTATGACAGATAACCAGCCTCTCCAATCCTGAACCAAGTGGAAATTAAATGAGGTGCCAGTGATATATTACATTAAAGTAATTAAAAAAATTATGCAACGTTGTGGCATAATAGCATTTATAAATGAATAATTCAAAAAAAAAAAAAACAAATTGAAGACACTAAACACTAAATAAATAAATATTCGTTGCGTTCATTTGTTGAATGAAAAAAGTATTCACTAGCGCCAACAGATGGCGTTAGTGCATATACTCCTGCTGACAGAATGCCCCTCCCCCTGCAGAGCAAGCATAGTTCACTTATACGCCAATAGATGGCGTTAGTGCATATGTCACCGGAAAATAAAAATATCCGTAAGTTTATCAATTTACTAGGAAGTTTGTAAACTTTCGTAGGATTCTAAACGGGAGATAAATCGTATTATTTTACGTCTACATTTTCGTAAATTGATAAACTTACTGAACTCACTCGTAAAATAATAAGTAAGCAAGAACCAAACGCCACGCGCGATCTGATTGGTTGACTGTCTCATGTCACTTCTCTTTCCTCGCGGCCGCCATTGTTCGCCACGGAACATAAACAAACCGGTTTGCTCGTGCGTTTTGATTAGTTTGAAGTGTTAAACTGTGTTGAAACTGTGAAAAATAGCTTTATTTCGTTAAGTTTATATAGCAATACCCATAATGAGTGACCTACAAGCTGCGGACACCCAAAATGAAGGAGATAGTGTGGTAAATGCTGGAACATTTGTTGACGAAGTAAAATTTACCACAGAGCTACGAAAGTTTTATAGTGGGCATAACCAAAATAGTAAGAAGTCGGAATGGACAGAGGAAAAAATTCAAAATGTTATTAAAATGATAGAAAATTATAATAAAGCTAAACTTTTGGGAAGTCGGCCCACAGACAAAGAATACTATCACGCCAAAAAGTATGACATTATGACTTTTAGTGACGAAAAAGTATTGATATTAAAAAGGAAATCTCAGCAGGATCCAGTGATACAAGTAATTCCAAGCAGTAAATACTATCAAAAAATCCTTGATACACATGTTGCTACAGGTCACGGACGGCGTGACAAAATCTTTGACTTGTGACAATAAGTAGATAATTGGTAATAAGTACTTAAATAATTTTTACTTATTTTTACTATATGTTTTTTAAGCCTTGTTAAGACTAAGTTAAGAAAAATTACGACCGAGCTACTAATTACTGAATTAGGTATGTAACTACGACCGAGTAGGTATGTATGACACAGACGAAAAAGCTATGTTTTGAATATTTTTTTTGATAATAAAGCCTTTTCTACCAATTTATAGTTTGTCAAGTCTGATTGTACCGAAGTCTATGGACACAAGCATTCCCACTATGAACATTGACCAATTAGAGAGCAGTGTGTTATTTTACGTATTTCAAAGATGCGTATATTTAAATATCCTTCTGTGATTGGTCGAACCATATAGAATCTTACGAATAGATATCCGTTAGTTTATAAATTTACCGTGTGTTGTCGGTAATTGATAAATTTACGAAAATGTAGACGTAAAATAATACGATTTATCTCCCGTTTAGAATCCTACGAAAGTTTATAAACTTCCTAGTAAATTGATAAACTTACGGATCTTGTTATTTTCCGGTGACACATATACTCCTGCTCACAGAATGACCCCCCTGTAGAACGAAAACATAGACGTATCCACGTCAAAAACATTTGTGGTAGTGATGTAGTTTAAATGAACGTATATGTTAAGCAGAAGTTTGTGTGTATGTGTGCGTGCGTGTGTGTGCGTGCGCATGTGTGCGTGCGTGGTGTACTCTAATGTGAATTAAATTTCCTGACTGTACGCGTGCTTTTAAGAAAAATATCTAGTTAATATTTTAATCCGTACAATACAATGTATGTGTTTGCACTCACTGTTCTGATCCTCTTGTCGGTGCATTCCAGGGCTAGTTTCTTAGCGAGACGGGTCACTTCCTCGGATGCTTCAGCTATAGCCTTAGCTGTTGCGATCAGCTCACGCTTGCTACCTGTTGCGCAAATAACATTTACGTTTATATGATTATCATTGATATTCCTCATCAGTCTTTATTATATAAAGACGGTACCGATTCTATCTTTGTTTGTTTGTGGAGATGATGTTATCTAGTGATCAGATCAAGGAAATTCTTCTAAACATCATAAGCGAATAACATAGACATTGACGCGGGCGAAGAAGTTTGCACCGTCACTTTGATAATTGTATAATTAATCACATAATATAATAATACGTAGCATACATAGAATCAATAATCACGTGACTCGAGAACGGGTCTAAAGAGGGATGAAAACAAAATCACGATGCATCCCAAGGTAAAGACGTCTTTTTCATATTGATTGAGTCTAAACATGTGTATGATGAGTTGTAAAATAGATATTTTTATACATTTGATATACAAATAAAAGTAAAGTCAACATTTGATATACATTTATATGTATTATTTTTATACAGGGTAAACAACCACGCATGACTAGATAGTTAATATTAGCAATACCAGTCTGTTACACCGTGACCAAACTTAGTAGAAAAAACTTAATTTCGTCGTGTAGTAAGCTTTTAAAAGACGGTCGAATTTTCTCACTCTTCTTTAAACCTTAACACATTGAATGTAGAGTTGAATATATATTGTATGCATTTGACATATTGTAGTAACTTGACATACAACGTGTATTATTATTAATTAAGTTGCACAGTAACATAAGACGACATCATAAAGATTGATCAGATCTGAAATTAGCTAATGCACTTGTAGTATTGTTATCTGAAACAATGAAGATACCACAAAATTCAAACCCGAAACAATGTAAAAAAAATTAACATTTTGCGATCCACTCGCTCACGAAGGTCGACAAATTTAATAAAAACATCGAAATAACTTATGTTATAAATATTTAGTTATATTATAAATCATTTACCATATATTGTTGTTTATCATGTTAGCTATCAAATTTTGCGATATTGTTGGTGTTTTACAAATAACCCTGTATAAACATGTAAATATACATATTCAAATACAAATATCAATATGACTGAAGCTTTTCTCTTGTATATACATAAGCATAGCGGCACAGACATATAATAAGCGATAAATAATCGAAATATTTAATTGTTAACACGGCACAGATTCATTCTTTTGCCAACGGATGGCGCTAGTGTTTTTATTTGATGATTGAATTTTTTATCAATAAAATGCTTGTATGTCTTTAAAGAGTTATTCATAAAATAAGTTACATTTTAAGAGAAAGCAGAGGAGCATCGAACTGATACATATGACGCAATTTATTCGGTTCATTTACCACAATACCATTCATTGTCCGTATTAGAAGAAAGTTAAGAAAAGACGAATCATTCAAAATATATTTTGAAATATAAAGCTAACCCATATAATAAGTTCTATCACAAAAACCATATAATTAGAACACTAGACGCATCTATTAATATTCGCTAATTGGTATTACAGTTAGGAGTATTGAAGGTATACGAATTATTTTAAGCAGAACTTCCCTTAATTAGAGAGACAAGACCGCCCTCTCTTTCTCTATTCAGCAATGGTAAAGGATAGCTATACACAAACCTTCTGACACTTTGCGATGCTTTTCCGCGCTTAATACGCATGCACAAGAGAAAGAGAGACAGAGCACCGAGCTACTCTCTCCTTCTAATTAAGGGATAGCCGGAAGCTTCTCAACTCTATTTACAATACCTCTTTGGATGTTTCACGTCAAGTGAAGATACTTACCAGACAGGTTCATAGCGACTTCTAGCGTCCAACAGAGAAAGCAACGAACAGATGTACATATATATGTAGGTATATACACAATGAGCGCATGATTATATAGACACGATGAGCAAACATTAAATATATAATATGAAGACAACGACAGATATATTTGAATTTAAAGTACCCACAGCAACATGTCAGGTTATCGCAGTATGTAATTTGTTTGCAATTGATTTTCAATTCCAATTCTCATATCTTAGGTTTAAAATTCAGTTAGGAAATTTAACAGATTTATATAACCTGACATACTGTCGATTGTACGATAGGCACACATTTATAGTACACAGAAGGGCATAGCTACCACCGTATCAGATTCGGCGTACGCAATTTTTTTTGCCCATGTGGACCCCCCCCCCCCACGCAGCTAATTTTGATACGCAAGGCAAGGCACTCTACGTCACTAAGTACACAAAAGCACGTCAGGTAACCATTTAATGTTTAAAATCATATGAAGTTATTTGACAATTTGTATAATCTGACGTGCTTTTGTCTGTAAAAAAAAACAAAAGCAATACATGTTAAAGGCATAGAATTGCGTATAAAGTGTGCCGCGGCGATTCAAAATGGTTACAGCTTGATGGTTTTGCTCATAAAGCAAAACATTGATTTAAAGATGCAATCACGAAACAATTGGCTGAAATATCAAATATATTACAGCAAATGGCACAGTTCAAAGACATAGTCATTTTATTCGCAAGCCTACTTATTCCTGTGATTACACGCGCAGTCAATACATTGGGAACCGGATAGCTGCGCTCGAACGTCTCGAATAAGATTCAAGAATCTGCCGCCATTTTAGGAAATATCTAGGCTAACAAGAAGTCTTGGCGCATAAAAAAGTCTTGGCGCCAAATCTAAATTCAATTAAAACAATAAAGATAACAGTATATTGTTTAATTAATAATATATATATATATGTATATATATATATATACGTATGTTGACGTACTGATTACGTAGATAATAAAATAAAGAAGTACTAGAACTTGTTTATAACTAACACAGAACAACCTTGCGCAATGTTTCATATTGGAAGGCGCGAAATATCTTTGAGTTAATCTTAACGTTACGCATTTGAGCGCGAGAAGTATTAATTTGCAAAGGCGACTGTCAAAATACGTAGCATCATCTCTAAAGACATAAAACATGAAAAGAGAGAAATAACACTCGGCTCTTAGCCATTAAAACAGTTTCTTTGACGCCATCTCATTGGCTTTAATGATACATGTTAAATTCGATTGGCTGTTTCCTTTGTGCTTATTCGACAAGCTATGACAGCGCCATCTGGAACTAGCTTTGTCCGGTCATCCCTATTGGTTCATACGTATTCACCTTATTAAAGCGCAACGGGCAAGAGAACGAGAAAGTGTGAAATCTAGTTTTGATTATCGCATTCCATGCGATAATCAAAACTAGATCTCGATCTCGTATTCCATGAGATATAGTTTGCCAACTTCAGCGGTGACAAATTTTTACAATCCTACTCGTAAGAATGGAAGTACTCTAACTACGCCTCGTTCACTAACCGGTACAGGTACTTTTCGGTAACGGAAACAAAGTTGAAATTTATGGACGAAACACAAGTTCTTCCTGTATAATGGTCGCACTCACCTCTAGAGTCGGAGCGGACAAGTTCCGAGAGTCGCGCCATCAGTATAGCCATACGTTTGGCGGCCGCGATGATTTCGTTATCTTTCGAAGACCACTCGCGGACCGCTTTGTGGAGATTGTGAGCGGCAACCTGGGTGAGAAGATTTCCGATTCAAGATAAAATCAGGAGTATTCATTCAGTTTTGTACAAAGAAACAGCGTCAAAACAAGCCATCATTTGGAACGAACTACTCGACTGGTCTACACCGGTGGTCCTCGGGAGTACACCGAGCGGTCCGGAAAACGGAGATTTGCTAAAGATACTTAAAATGACTCTCTATATGTTCATTCGATACCGCACAGTACACCGCCGGGGTGCTCCCCCACCAGGTAGAAATCTGTCAAACGGTCCGGAAAGACCGAAAGATTACTCAAAGGGTGATACCGACCAAGATGGGTTGGCTGGGGTGCGGCTGGCTGCTGAATATGTCCTCGCCCTCGTCGTCGGTGTCGGGCGGGGGCGGGCGCGGGGGCGCGGCCGCGGAGGGGGCGGACGCGGGCGCGGGGGGCGGCGGCGGGCGCGGGGGCGCCACGTGCAGGCGCTGCAGCGCGGCGGGCAGCAGCGGGGGCGGGGGGGGCGCGGGCGCGTAGTGCCGCCCCAGCGCGCCCTCCACCTCCGACGCCGCGCTGATGATCTGACATAATATGAAACCGCTTTTCAAACTTTGCTGCTGCCTAATTTTAAAGATGTCCCGCAGGATTTCATCTTTATGTCCACTCTTATTTATTAATCATCTGAAAGATCGTTAGAAAGCTTTGATTTTTTTTTATTTAGGAAAACAATCGTTATTTAAATACAATGAAACCTTATTTAACACATAGACCTAACAGTTCCATGACTACATATAAAGAGTTATTCCATCCGTCTTTTCGTTTCGCGTCGAAAGCACCACATACCTCCTTGTTGGCGGCGCGCCAGTGCGGGTGGGCGGCGCGGTCGCCCAGCGCCACGGCCTTGGCGCGGTGCACGGCGGGGGGGATGGCGGCCTGCAGGCGCCGGTGGGCGGCGTCCAGCGCGCGCGCGAACTCCGCGTCCTCCGTGTTGTCCCGCTCCGCCCCGCCCACCAGCAGCACGCGGTTGGCGAGCCTAAGGCGTCATTTACATTGTCACAGACCCTATACTATACTTTACATATTATTTATGACTGTAGCGCTAATTAAATCGGAGACGAGGAAATACACACACATATTTTTACGCGTGCTATAAATTATAAATTAAATAAAATATATTTTAATGACATCTAATACTAACATATAATATCGACCACTCATCGACATGCCTTTAACACGTTATGGTTCCCATCACTACAGAATACGTGTCTTTGTACTAGCCAATAGCATCGCTGCAGTCACCTCGACCGCCAGCTACCCCACCGCTAAGATTGGCACCTTTATTTATTCAACAAAATAGTCATCATGTGGTATCGGAGATTATCCGTGGACCGCCCTCATACATTTGAAGCGATATAGCAGACCATGAGTACGTACATGTAATTCAATGTCGAGGCGATTTGTGCCCGATATCGACAGATCGTACAATCTCATTAATATACAGTTGCGATTCTCCATACATTTTATAAGGGCGTACGATTCGTGATATATCGCTCATCGATATCGATTTGCATCGCATCGAGCCATGAGTAAAGAACCAAAGAGTCAATTTAGTATAACTTATTAAAAATCAGAATGTAGTGTCGATTTAGCGATACGTATCATTCCTGGATGTCGTACTAGTGATTTACCTGGCGATAGCGGATGTGTTGTCCACCATCTTCTGCGAGTCACCGTTCCGGATTGCGTCTTCACACAAGTACGTGTGCTTTTGCATCAACTCACCTAGACGGCAGAAGAATGTCTTATAAATTAAAAAGTTACACTTGAATATTACAGCAAAATTAAAGTAAAAAATATCTGCATCCGAATAAACATATGTCAAATACTTTTGAAACCTAACATTCCGTCAAATTCACAATAAGTACGGATCACAGACCCGCTACTTGACCGGTACATGCAACGCTTCTTTTGAAAATGTGCTTGCTATGTTTCTCAAACTGCTGACTGTATATTATTCATACCGATTTTCGATGAGTGTACACAATACGTGCTGTGATGCAAATGAATACTCAAAATATTTATAGAGACAATTATTAGTGTATATTTTTACAGCTGATAGTGGTCGGTGCAATAGACACGTACCCGCGGTGCGCACGAAGTCCAGCGGATCGACGGCCTGGTCGCACAGGTCGCGCACGCGCAGCACCGCGTCCGCGTACTGGCTCTTCAGGTTGTTGAAATGCTCCTCCGACACCTGACACCACCAATTATATCTATTATAAACTCTATCTCCGTCCTCTGACGGCTGTAACCGTTAAACCGCCGACATTTTATTCGCATGGCATTACTTATGTACTGATGGACGGTTGTTACTGAAATTCTATAGCTATTTCTGAATTCGTCTTATTTTAACTTCTTATTATTTTGTATCAGGCACATCAGGGTGCATCCGTCACCATGTGCCACACCGAACACTTAAATCGTCTCATAAGTCATGGATCTTTCCTCTCACTCGTACTCTTCCCTCCCCCTCATTACGTTTCGTTCCACCTTACATGCAATCGATCTACATAAACCTACACTTATGCATAACATAGAAATAAAAGAAATTCCTTTCACTTAATACCCGTAAGATAAGTTACTGTTGCACTCGGTATTGAATTCAAAATATTATATTGACGCTTACGTTGTCAGAAAAAACGTTTCGGAACATATTCTACTTCCTTGAAAATATGTTATAAAATTCAAATAAAAAAAATTGTCCCACATTAACTAACTAAAAACTTCAAGTGAAATAAAACTCACCTTACTGTCCGGATAAAGGAGACGAATCTTTCCAGCGGCGATCAGTTGCGGCGACAATTTCTCCACCTGTTATAACGATAATCCACAAGTAGATCAAAACTAAAATTATCTTTTATTTTTTAAATAAGCTTTAGATCTCGTAAAGACAAACGAAAAAGAAGCCCAGACCCTTCGGGGTCGCGTTATTTAATTACAAAGTTCCCATAGCCCGGTTCCAGTTCCATCACCTGGATAATTATTTCGTCGAGACGAATATCCAGCTCCATTCGATATAAAATTGCATCGCCATCTACGTTGCAGGCGTATACAAAATAGGGATGATGACTGGGTAAAAATAATGCAATTCTATTTAGTCCGTCAGTCAGATAATAGAAGAATATTAGGTACGTATTTTTTTTTTTACTTCAATTTAACAAGAAATAGCTTAAATATAGCTTAGATAGGCATTAAAGTTGAGGAGTGGGGGCTCGCTACGTCACAGTCGAGTAGAAAACGTACTCTAACGTGACGTCATGCGAAATTTCAACTCAATGTAACGCCATAATTTTATGATTACGAAAAAAAAAACACTCTACCTGACGGACAAACAAACAAAAATTAGTCATCATCCCTATTCTTATACTCAGGTCACAGCACTGTACCGACCTGGTGCGCGTAGTGCGCGAGCTGGTCGGCCAGCCGCTTGCTGTGGTCCCCCGCGGCCACCATGCGCGCGGCGGCCGAGCGCGCCTCGCGGTTATATAGCTAGACCCACCTGGTGCGCGTAGTGCGCGAGCTGGTCGGCCAGCCGCTTGCTGTGGTCCCCCGCGGCCACCATGCGCGCGGCGGCCGAGCGCGCCTCGCGGTTATATAGCTAGACCCACCTGGTGCGCGTAGTGCGCGAGCTGGTCGGCCAGCCGCTTGCTGTGGTCCCCCGCGGCCACCATGCGCGCGGCGGCCGAGCGCGCCTCGCGGTTATATAGCTAGACCCACCTGGTGCGCGTAGTGCGCGAGCTGGTCGGCCAGCCGCTTGCTGTGGTCCCCCGCGGCCACCATGCGCGCGGCCGCCGCGGCGCGCCCGCTGAACGCGCCCAGCGCCGCCGCCGCCTCGTGGTACGCCGCCTCGCGGTTAGGCGTGCCTGCGCACGTACACGTACACGTACACGTACACTTATGTTTTTGTTCGTTTATTTTAAATGTCACATCTATCTAGATTATAAAAAATACAACAGTGGTGTTTTCCTATGCTTTTCAAAAGTGTGAAAGAAACGATGAATATTGTCACGGAGCGCAGCGGCGCGATGTTTCGACTGCTCGTTCCTAGATGGCGTTCCGTGTCATTTGAGTAACGCTGGCACTGTCGAAACTGCGTGTGTCATATAAGTATACGTCGGTGAGAGAGGGCCGGGTAGCCGTTCTAGAACTTTTTAGTAATGCCTCGAAAAAACCTAGAATCTATACTATTTTTAATATAATAAACCTAGAATCTAGGATGTTGTAGGTCCTAACAAAAGGATTTCACTAAAAAATAGAGAGCATTCTAAGCAAATGTGATTTATTTGAAATCAAAAAAGGGAACTCAAAAATGAATTATGGAATATTGATATAATATGTTTAACCGAAACATTCATGAAACAAGGTTCGCAGTGTAATTTAAATATCAAGGGTTACCAACTAATTAGTTTCCGCGTTTTGTAGGACAAAACGAAGGGGGAAATAGTTGCATATTGCTAAAAGTCATTTAAATTCAAAAATATATGACATAACAGAAGTCATGCCGTATGTGTTTGAATACTGGTTCTGCAAATGATAATTATTATTTACTCTATTTTTCTCTCTAGTGAACGAAATAATGTGACACTTTTTCACGTTGAGATCCATCATGTTAAAAAGCACCAGTTAGATATTGCATCAACGTCACTTTGAAGTGCCATGCACTGTCCCATGTCCTTCTGACTTCGGTGAAAATTTTAAGATCGTCTACATAGAAAAGAGATTGACTAGACAAGCCATAGACCAAGTCGATTATGAAAACAACAAAGAAAAGCGGTCCCAAAAACGAACCTTGAGAAATCCCCGAGGAGACAGCGATAGGTGCAGATGTATAACCCTTTATATTAACCAGTTGAGTCCTATTATTTAAATATGAGATAATCCATCTAAGCAGGGACCCATGAACACCGTAATGTTCGAGTTTGAAACTTAGCAAGTGATGGTCAACTTTATCAAATGCCTTATTAAAATCAAAATAGATAGCATAAACTTGACCTTTTTAACAAATTTCTCAGTTAGTTATGCCGACGTTATACAAAGATCAATTATAATAGGAAATCGTTAGAATTTATTTATTTATTCAATATTTATTATGCATTTTACAACGAAAGGAGGTTTATTTGTTGTCCAGTGTATTAAAGTCAACGAAACTTTCTTAGGGACCATGATAGACAGATTCTGTAATTGGAAGGCACATATAGACATGATTGTTGCCAAATTTCACAGATTTATATTTGCTCTAAATAGGATTAAACAAATTGCCTCTAAACAATCCGCTCCGATAGAATATCATAGTTACGTCTCACCTGTGTTGCGGTATGGTATAGTGATATGGGGTAATTCGGTGGATGCAATTTGCGCTTTTAAAATACAAAAGAAATGCATACGGTCAGTCTGCGGTGCAGGCTATTTGGACTCATGTAACCCTTGTTTAAAGTATTAAATTTATTACCACTTTCATGTATAGAAATTCTTGAAATAGGGATGTGACAAAATAAAGATTTAGCACGTAAAAGTAGAAACGCACCCACGGGCGCGGCGGCGGCGTCGCTGAGGTGGCGCAGCGGCGCGGCCACGTCGATGAAGTCCTCCACCACGCGGTTCACCACCGCGCGGTCCAGCGCCAGCCGCAGCTCGTGCAACTTGTCCGTCAACTCCCTGTCGCGAAACATGGACACGCTTGTAGCGATATTTATGTACTATATATTCCCAGCGAGTCGGTTAGCAACGCAAGAAAACAACTTGCAGTGTTGTGTAAAACATATAATTCGATGCAGTCGGCGTTGACATCGTCCAATATCCACCGGCGACCTAGAGGAACCATCGGAGACGGTTCCACATACGTGTTTCGACGCACTCGATATTGTGATCAAAAATGGCTTTAATGAAATATGCTTAAAATATTCACCGATCTCGGACCGAATACTATATTCGCTCCTAACGAGCGTATTTTTGTCAACGTTTCCAATGCGTGTCCAATGAGTTCTACAATAAAGATCTCCATCGGACATCGGCCCCCGTATGGTGGATCTTCAGTACCTGGTAACAGCCCGGGCCTCCTCGCTGTCCCCGCGGCCGCCGAGACACAGGTCGGCGAGCGTGTCCGTCAGCCGCTGCGCCTCCGCGCACAGCTGCAGCACCTCGGCCTTCTCGCGCCCGTGCAGACCGTCCGCTATCTGTATTGGCATCATATATGCCACGATACAATTACGTATCAGCAGTTCAGTACTATTACCGATGATCGGAATAAGTATACGTATATGTTAGTATGGACATTCCTTCGAAATTGATCGATTGTTGTAGTCTTTTATTCCGGAATTTACGTAGGAATTGTACAAAAAATTTGAAGTAAAAGCTTCAAGTACCAAAAATTAAACCACTGCGAACACTGATTGTTACTTTTACATAGTTCCAGATTCAGTGCAGTTTTTTATGTTGCCTTCATTCAATAGTTTGAAGGCAACATAAAAAACTGCACTGTTTTTTTGCATTTTTTTGCAATAGTTTTTATACCTAACAGTAAATTTCCTAAGGTTCCAGACTTTGGGATGACGGAACTCAATGTAGCTCTGATCTCTGTCTATATGTCGATATCTCTACCTGCCTCAAGAATTCGTTATAAATTGTAATTGTAACGAACTGACCGGCAGACCGGCGAGATATTTCACAAGACTATTTTTTGTTTACATTTTATTCTCCTTTCGCAGACGAACTTTTTCAACGCCAGGTTTAATAGAAAATTTACTGACCCTCTGCCCTTGAGCAACGATACTGTTAATCGCCTTCTGGCCCTCAATCCTGGTGGACGGATCAGCAGCTGGATGCAGTAACCATTTGTGAGCTGTCTCCAATCTGCATAAGAATATAGTATACTTTCACTACAGCGACTTATCCAAAAAACAAAGATACTTCGAATACCAAGTTATTGACCATAATATGAAACTTTAGAATTTCATTGTAAAGGAAAGAGAAGTAAACACCCGTTTATAATAAAGAATAAAATATTAAAATATTGCACTGAATATAAAAAAATTACTTGCAGAGAAAACAAAAATTCCGATCCCCAACGTGTTGTTAAAACGTAAATATTACAGTAAATTGTTGTGTTAAATATTTCATGTACACACGGCTGCACTCCAGGTTACTACAATATGTCAATTTTCCGCAAGTGTTTTTTTACTCTGCTCCCAACCTATTAAGGTTTGAAATCAATTGGAGAATTTTGACAGTTTTGTATAACCTGACGTGGTGTTGATTGTACAATTAAGTGTTCATTCATTGATTCATTCACAATAAAGTGTGTATGTTTGTTTATCTTTTGTGTATTAATAAATTCAGTCACCTCGCCTGCATGGTATTGTCGCCCTGCTTCTCCGCTGCCCTCACACCTTCATTCACAATAGAATCCAATTCATTGATATGCTCACGAAGGTTTGATGCTAAGTCCAGAGCCTAGAAAATATCAATATCAAATTCAACAATCGAAAAATAATTCTAAATTTTAATCCTGTAAATTATTCTTTTGGGTAAACAACTTTGATAATAGAATTAATAAACATTACCTTTTTTTCTTATTATTTTTTTTCTTTTAGCCAAAAATGGGTCGGTAGAGATCGCTACCCATAGCGATCTTCTGACCCGTGTTTAGTTAGAAATGGTTTAGCATGTCGAATCGAAAATCGAATCGAAAAAAAATAGCTGAATCATAGGCTCCAAGATATAAATAAAATCTCACTTTGGCCTCTCGACCTCGCCCGCTCTGTCTCTCGTCGCACAAATGATCGGCGTCGATGCCAGCAGCTCTGGAAACAAAAGTCCCATGTCAGTGAGGATGGAAGGTGTCGAATGCTGTATACCGTGCAGGAGGGCTATACCGTATATATAGTACCTGACGCGCGGGCGCAGCCGGTCGGGGCGCGGCGGCGGCAGGTGGGCGGCGGCGCGCGTGGCGCCCGTGAGCACCGCCCGCACGGAAGGATGCTATATATGTCGTAGGAGGGTATATCGCCTATATACTATATACCTGACGCGCGGGCGCAGCCGGTCGGGGCGCGGCGGCGGCAGGTGGGCGGCGGCGCGCGTGGCGCCCGTGAGCACCGCCCGCACGGAAGGATGCTATATATGTCGTAGGAGGGTATATCGCCTATATACTATATACCTGACGCGCGGGCGCAGCCGGTCGGGGCGCGGCGGCGGCAGGTGGGCGGCGGCGCGCGTGGCGCCCGTGAGCACCGCCCGCACGGAAGGATGCTATATATGTCGTAGGAGGGTATATCGCCTATATACTATATACCTGACGCGCGGGCGCAGCCGGTCGGGGCGCGGCGGCGGCAGGTGGGCGGCGGCGCGCGTGGCGCCCGTGAGCACCGCCCGCACGGAAGGATGCTATATATGTCGTAGGAGGGTATATCGCCTATATACTATATACCTGACGCGCGGGCGCAGCCGGTCGGGGC